TTCCTAATTTATGAAATCTTATAAAAAACTTGTATCCCCTTGTTCTAAATGATCTAAAATCCATTCCTCTTATAAATATGTATATATTTCAATATCTTTTTATTATGAATCTGAACACTCAATCAAAATATACCTTAAATCAACAATACAATCTTCATTATTTTATCCCAAATCTAATTGTTCTAAATATTATTTGATTTAATTAAAATTTACTTAATTTTATTGTATTTATTTAATCTTTTTGTAAATTTAATGTTTACAAATAAATTTTTATAATAAACTTGTATTATGATTTTCTAAAAATTCTAAAATTAATTAACAATTTTGTTCATTAAATTATATTTGAGTTAAAGGAATATCCATTTCTAATAGTATTATATTATCAAGAAGTTTTTTAATATAAGTAACATATGATTTAAGACAAATTTGAGTTAATTCCTATTAAAGATCATACCATTTATTGCAAATTTTTTTATTGCATTTTGATAATTGATAGTATAAGGAGCTAAACTTATTTTTTGTCTAGAATTATAAATATTATTAATAATTGATATTTTGATTGTTATTAAATAAGGATGATAAAGCATATCTAAATTTTTCAAATTATTCAAAGAATATCCAAATCCATTATAATTAACGAAGTTGTTATTCTTTTATATTATAAAGTTAGGAACTCTTGATTTCTGAAATGATTTTAATATTCTTTTAGATGAAATCCATCAATTATGATAAAAAACTATTATTGTTTATTTTTGAAATATCTAAAAAATCATCTAAAATGTGATTAAAATTTGTCTATAAAATAGATTTCATTGTTGATTATAATTGAACAATATCTATTTGAAATTAAAGTAAACCTTCAAATTAAACTTTCATAGCATTAAAATTTCCACTAATTTTTTTATTACTTAATTATCTAATAGCAGGTTATAAGGTTTAAAGTGATCTTAAATATTAATGTTATTAATCATTTAATTATTGATCAATTGATTTTTCTAAAAATTAATTAATATCAGATAATATGTTTAACTATTTTGGATGTATTTCATTATAGTATTGTATATATTAAGTTTAAAATTTCTCAAAATCTTTTTATGCCTTAAAGTCTTTTATCTCTAAATATTAATTTAATTAAGGATATAATTCTTTAATTCTTTCTAATTCTTTTTCTATCATTTATTAAAATACAGATTTAAATTTTATAAAAGATTGATTTTCATATTTTAAATTTTATAAATATTAGAGAATAATTAATAAATCTTATTTCTTTTAATTTAGTTCAGTATAAAGATTTATTAAATACATCCAAGTTTCTTATTTTAAATCTTATTTTAATTTTACTAATACATCATTGAATAATTGAACATAATTCAATGAAATATAATTCTTAAATATTTTAATTTAGTTCATTAAAATTAATTGTAAATTCTATGCTGTTTTTATATCAAATTATAATTAATCAAACTCTTTTAGACATTTATTATAAATCTTATATCTCATAAAATGAAAATATTGATAATTACTGATATTAAGTATCTTAAATTATTTTTTATAAGCTTTTGCTAATATTAAATTCTTTCCTGTTGTCATAATTAATTATTGTCCTGTTAATTAACTTTATATATTTGAATAAAATTCAGTAATACAATCCAAACTCTTTGCCTATTCCAATAAATATCTCATCTTATCAATAATAGATAAAGATAATCGAATCTATTCAGTAATTTAAGTATAATGTATAATCAAATGATTCAACTCTTTTTAGAAATCAAAAAAATAAATTGAAGCAATGCTTTCTAACTTTAACATTTGCTAAGATTTTTGCTATTCAAATAAAGGATATTTTTAGATTAATTATATCAAACCTTGACAAGCTTACTTATATTAAAGATAGTTTTCACTTATATGCATTAATCTTTTCTTTTCTGAAATAGTTTATTCAAATTCTTTTGCATGCATTTCAATTGACGAATATATTTATAATGATAATGATGTGAATTCAGCTTCAGATGTTTCATTTGATGAATGTCCTATAGTTTGATCTAGTAAATTACTTCCTTGATGATTTTATTGATGGTTTTATTATTATTATACTGAAACTGACATTACTTTCTCAAAAGTAGATGCATCAATTAAAATATCTCTTAATTCTAATTAAATTGATTCAAGTTAATTAAAATTGTATTTTATTGATTTATTGAGTTCAGAATATCTTGAAATATTATTAGATTTCTTAATTTCATTTATTAGATGATTCATTTATTCAATACATCTTTATTTATTAGATTTCATCTTTGTATGTTTTTCAATAATTGACTACACTATACGAGCATCTTACTTTAACTTAATTCTTAATTTTTCTCCTTCTATTTCAAGTTATTCATAATATTATTATTATTATTAACCAGATTAATTATTAAATTAACTATTCTCTAATTTCATATTGATTTATTGTGGTTATCTAAACAATATTAGAAACTACTCTAAATCATTAGGTGTAAAATTCTGTAGTTCATTTAATACTTATTTTGATAAATCTAATTAATTTGAGTTTCTTAATTGACTATTTAATTGCATATTCTGTTATATCTATGAATGTTCTAGAATTTTTGGAATCTATACATACTCAAGTGTATTTTAAAATTGATTTGGAGTAGTATTCTCAAATATTTTTTTCTTGTGATTGATGCTCATAAAATTTATTTACTAAATAAATATAATTATGTAATAATTAATGAATAATTTAGTAGATAATAATACTATTATCATTTAATATAGTTTATTTATTATTTAGAAAAGAGGAATAAATAATTAATTCAGAAACTTTAAATTTATATTGTATTTTTTAGATCTTGAATAATAATAAAAATTTATATATCTACTTAAATATATTTTAAAGTACATATATTTAATACTATACTTTATATAAATCATTCATTACACTATTTTTCTTGATGTATCCTTCTCAATAATTTTATGACCAATCATTAATTATAAAAAAGCACTGCATCTATCCTATTTCAAAGAAAATATTGATTAATTAAAATGCAAAAGATAAAATATAATGGAATAACTCCCAAAAGGTATTATGTTCTTATGATCTAAGCCACTGTACAATAATTCATTAAATCAACAACCAATGGGGATATGAAATGCTCGAATGAATTTGTAACATAAGTCATGTCTATGGCTAGGGAATATATCTAATTGGTTTCTGATTAAGCTAATACAATCTGTCTAGAAAATGGAAAAAAAACAATATCAGGTGAGTTTTTTTATAAGTCCATTTAAAAACTTAGGCTAGAGGGATAAATTCCATTTCTAAAAGAAATAGAAGAAGAAATAAAAGAAGAAGTTAATGTAAAGTTTTAATGCTATTTAAAGGTGAAAAATTAAAATAAAGCAAGATTTTAAGATGAGGAGCATTTGAGATAGTTAGAAGAATAGCAAAAAGAATTATATGAAAAAGCTAAATTAGAGAACTATAAACACGTAATTGATGAAGAAGACAATAGCAAACCAAGAAAAACATTAAATTTATAATTTGATCAAGAAGAAGGAGATCTTTAATGAAAAATTTATTATAAAAACAACAAAGCATAGTTTATCTTTCATTCAATGCATCTAATGATGATGATAGGTGCTTTGGGCTAAAGAAGAAAGACCATCTTCATTGATTTCCATTATTTCTATTATTTATATAATATGATACCACTCATATTTAATGGAGGTGAGTTATCATGCATGTATTATTAACGGACTTCTTTTATTTCTTATTAATAATTTTTTAATAATTAAGGTAGATCATTTTTATGAGAAGTCATTGAAAAATCTTAAGCACATTTTGGTATATTTTTTTTAAATTCTTACTTTTATTATTTATAATGTTATTCTCTAATATTATTTTTTTTCTATTTTTTTTAATCTATTTCTTAAGTTTATTCAGTATTTACCCAATATAAATCATAACCTTAATTTGGGCTTCCTCCTTTACATGGTGAATTATTTCTTTCAGCAGATTAATTTTATTTTTTTGTAATTCTAAATTATTATTTTTCTGGTCTTTTGGGAATTATAAGTATTTTCTTTTCTGATTAACTTATTGGTTATTTTTATATCAATTTAGCAGGACTAGCATTCTTTTTCATAAAATAATAAATTATACTTGATATTGAAATATTTTTTGTTGATTTGGTGTAATGCTTCTAATTTTAATAACTTTGATGTCTTGAGATTAAAGAAGTTCTTATTGATTTTTCTTATAATTTTAATGTTAAGATAAAGTAGCCTTTCTAGGAGGTAAAGGTGATTTAATTATGTGAGCTAATTTGCCAGAGTTTGGTCTGATTGGAATTTCAAGATTTTAACTTTTAACAATCGATTAATCAAATTCAATCTTTTAGGTTTACTTTCTTTTCATTATCATATTTGGATTAATTACAAAATGAATTTTATAAAAATGGATATGATTTTTTTAAGAAGAATTATCATAGTCACAAAAATAACTATATTAAACATCTAATGTTTGAAATTGAATATATTGGTTAGAATATATATAACAAATAGTTCTAATTTTATTTATTCTTGTATGACAATAATTTTATAATATTAATTAAACTCTACTAAAAATATTGGAAGATTGAAAGGTTATTCAAAGATTTTATTAATTGATTATGAAGTATCTTTAAATACATGTTGCATTAATTCTAATCAAGATAATTCAATCTTTCAATTCATAAATCCTTCAGAATAAGATGAAAATAAACTAAATAATATTCAGAAATGGAAATAAAGAGAGAATTTTTAAAGAGTCTTAAAATTGAAGGTCACAATAATTAATTGTCTTCTAAAAACAAATTCTTTATTTTTTCTTATTGATCAATAGTCATCTGAAGATTAATTTTAAGTTAACTGATATTTGTTTAATGCAGATATTTTCAAGTTTATTTATATTGAGTTTTGGATTGATATTCATTGTGGAAATATAAAATATTAATTATATGGAAACTAAAAAAGTGAAATTAGGGGAATATGACATAATGAATACTTTGGGAACAGGTTCATTTGGTCGGGTGAGATTGGCTAAGCAAAAATCGAGTAATAAATATGTGGCTTTGAAGATGTTAAAGAAAATAGAAATTTTACGACTTAAATAAGTTGATCATATAATTAGTGAGTTCAATATTTTGAAATAGATCAAGCATCCATTTTTGGTATGTTTGATGATTGAATATACTAGATTGAAATGAGTGGATATACTTAAGATGAACGATACTTATATTTTGTTTTAGAATATATATAAGGAGGTGAACTATTTACATATTTAAGAAATGCTGGGACTGTTTAGAATGAAGAGGCATAGTAAATGTTTATTCATAGCAATAGGTTCTACTCAGCTTAAGTTGTTCTAATGTTTGAGTATCTTCACACAAAGAATATAGTGTATAGAGACTTAAAACCAGAGAATTTGTTAGTCTAGTCAGATGGATATTTAAAGTTAACAGATTTTGGTTTTGCTAAAGTTGTTGAAGACAGGACCTACACATTATGTGGAACACCTGAATACTTAGCCCCAGAAATCCTATTAAACAAGGGTAAACTAATTTTCAATCTAAGGACATAGTAAACCAGTTGATTGGTGGTGTTTAGGAATATTCATTTATGAAATGCTTGCAGGTATTTGTATTATAGTTGAACTCACAAAGGAATTGATCCATTTAATGATGAAGATCCAATGGCTATCTATTAGAAAATATTGAAGGGCAAAGTTAAGTTTCCACGTAATTTTGATAAGTAAATTTACAACTTAACCTAAATTAGTGAAGCAAAAAGTTTAGTTAAACATTTATTAGAATAAGATGTCACTAAACGATTTGGGAATCTTAAAAATGGAGTAGATGATATAAAATCACATAAATTTTATGAAACACTCAATTGGAAAGATATAATCAATAAAAAAATAAAGCCTTAATATATACCTGTTATTCAGTAATATGAAATGATAGAATAATTAGATCTGATTATGATACTTCTAATTTTGCTACTTATCCAGATAGTACTGAATTACCTGATGCTGTAAAACCATAAGATGATCCATTCAAAGATTGGTGAATTAACAAATGTTAAAATATTATTTATTAATAAATTCTTCTCTCTCAAAATTATGTCAACTCTTCCCATCTAATTTGAATAAAATTATATAATAAATAAGAAGATAATTTAAAAACCAAAATGCTGTTTTTTTGTAATAACTTTATTAGTTATATTCATCATCTTCCAGACCATGAAGCAACTTATTTCTTGAACATGATGATAACCTCTTCTAAGATAGCATTTTCCTCATCTCTCTTTGCTTTAGCTTCAGCATAATCAGCTCTCTTGTTTTCTAAATCTGATTAGGCTTAATCAAGAGCATCTTGGGATTCTTGTAAAATGATCTTTGATTTTGCTTATTAAGCTAAGGCAGCTTAGATTTACTAATATATTAAAATCTAATTTTTACAGTTGCTAATCTGTCAGCATAAACTTATTTTCTTTCATATTCAACTTTCAAATTTGCAACTTCTGCTTCACTCAATGAAACCCATCCAGCCAATTCCCATGAGGCATTAATTTCATTAACTTCAAGAGCTTCAAGGGAAGCTTAAAGATTTGTTTCAAGTGATTCAAGAACTGCAAGGACTCTTTCAGCTAATGTAGCTCCTCTACTTACTCCTTCTTCTTATTAGGTTTAAGCTAAATTCAAGAATGTTTTAATTTCTTATTCATTGAAAAGATTGCTGTATGCTTTAAGTTTTTCAGCAACACTTGTGGTTTTCTCTTGGACTAATTCAAATGAATCACCATTGATAATGTAACCAGCAACATCTTGCTTAAGTACTCTAACAACTTCAAGAGCTTCTCTATTTTGTTTTATTGATCTCACAAATAATTAGTTACTAAGACATTATTCATCAAGAAGAACATCAATTTTTCTTGTAATCTCATCTTATCTTTATTCATTCCAAGCAAGATAATTCTTAGTGTCTTATAAATCTTATTCAAATTGAACTCTGTTTTCAATTGATTATTAGAACAACTTTTAATTGAGTGATTTGATCTTTGTAAATTATTCAATTGTTCTATATTTAAAATTTAAAATTACTGTGCACCAACCCATTCATCTGTTTCATTCTTTTAATCTGCAGCAAATTAAGCATCTTTATTTGATTGAATAAGATCATTCAATAAACCAAACACTGTATCAATGGCATCCATTGCTTTTGTGCCTGTTTAAAGTAAGGCCATAATTTGATCATGTGTTGATGTTGCAGAAGCAATGCTTACTAACAACAAGATAGCAAGAGTGACTTTCATTTATTAATATTTATTATCTAAAATATATGACTCTCAATATATTTTATTCTCAAAAACGGGTAAACTATATGATCATCTTTTTTGAATTGACTTTTAATCTATACTATATAATCTATAATTTATCAATATCTAATTATTTTTCTACTATTTCACTTCTCCCAATCCTTTTATTTCAACATATTAACTTTATTCTTATCATTTTTTAAGATATATTCAATTCTAAAAATTTCATTAATATTCACAAAAAATCCATATAATAAAAACTACAATTAAAAAATATTGTCTCCTTTTCAATTGGTTTTTAAGCATAAGAGTTATATAAACGATCCTATATAGAAAAATATTATTAATTTTAATATAAAAAAAACTATATAATTTGATTGTCAAAATATTTATATATATAATTNGATTTGTTTCAAGTGATTCAAGAACTGCAAGGACTCTTTCAGCTAATGTAGCTCCTCTACTTACTCCTTCTTCTTATTAGGTTTAAGCTAAATTCAAGAATGTTTTAATTTCTTATTCATTGAAAAGATTGCTGTATGCTTTAAGTTTTTCAGCAACACTTGTGGTTTTCTCTTGGACTAATTCAAATGAATCACCATTGATAATGTAACCAGCAACATCTTGCTTAAGTACTCTAACAACTTCAAGAGCTTCTCTATTTTGTTTTATTGATCTCACAAATAATTAGTTACTAAGACATTATTCATCAAGAAGAACATCAATTTTTCTTGTAATCTCATCTTATCTTTATTCATTCCAAGCAAGATAATTCTTAGTGTCTTATAAATCTTATTCAAATTGAACTCTGTTTTCAATTGATTATTAGAACAACTTTTAATTGAGTGATTTGATCTTTGTAAATTATTCAATTGTTCTATATTTAAAATTTAAAATTACTGTGCACCAACCCATTCATCTGTTTCATTCTTTTAATCTGCAGCAAATTAAGCATCTTTATTTGATTGAATAAGATCATTCAATAAACCAAACACTGTATCAATGGCATCCATTGCTTTTGTGCCTGTTTAAAGTAAGGCCATAATTTGATCATGTGTTGATGTTGCAGAAGCAATGCTTACTAACAACAAGATAGCAAGAGTGACTTTCATTTATTAATATTTATTATCTAAAATATATGACTCTCAATATATTTTATTCTCAAAAACGGGTAAACTATATGATCATCTTTTTTGAATTGACTTTTAATCTATACTATATAATCTATAATTTATCAATATCTAATTATTTTTCTACTATTTCACTTCTCCCAATCCTTTTATTTCAACATATTAACTTTATTCTTATCATTTTTTAAGATATATTCAATTCTAAAAATTTCATTAATATTCACAAAAAATCCATATAATAAAAACTACAATTAAAAAATATTGTCTCCTTTTCAATTGGTTTTTAAGCATAAGAGTTATATAAACGATCCTATATAGAAAAATATTATTAATTTTAATATAAAAAAAACTATATAATTTGATTGTCAAAATATTTATATATATAATTTTGTTATCTTATCTATATTAAAATATAAAATTAACAAAATAAGTATATCAAACTTGAAACATAATTTTATTATTTAATATGAATCATAAAACAATTATTGTTCTTTTATTTAGGCTAACATTTTATTCATTTACATAAAATAATGGTTTTGATGGTTTGTTTTCTTATTTAAATTTTTCTTTAATAAATCTGATTAATTTTTAACATTAATGTATTATATCAACAATAAAAGAGACAATTAATATTGATGAAAACATAAAAATATTAAACCATCCCATATAAATAAGTGTTTCAGATGTTAGACTCATTTCAACTTTATAATGATAAAATAAAAATGTCAACACATTAAAAATTATTAATGATTCTGTAATTATTATTTTTATGAATTCTTAAATATTATCAAATGGTTTAATTAAAATGGTATAAATGAAAAATATAGTTTACATAAATGCTATTGAGATGGCCTGTATTGAACTATTTTCTTACAAGAATACTATTAAAGAAATAAATATTTATTTTTTAATCATTTATATTGTATTGTATTACATCTTCCAAAAATTATGATTTTCACTTATTCCCTCAAATAATGCTTCATATTTTTATCTATTTTTTAATGAATTACATTTAGATAATGCATTTGCAATATTTATGATTGAAAAGGTAGCTAAAATCTAGAAAATAAATAGAATTTGAGATAATTTATAATTTAGAAATAGAATGATATTTTCCTCTTTTGGAGTATAAGCTAATTACAAAGTACATGCAAAACATAAATCGTATTAAATTGATAAAATTAATCTTAAAAGACCATTGTAATAAAATTTGGAAAGTTGTATTCTTAATTTTTTCCTAAGTTTTAATATATTTTTACTAATATACATTCCCAATATTATTACTTAATTCTCACTTAGTTTGTATAATAAATAACAAATACTCAAAATACTAAAATAGCTGGCATAAGTAGTGAAAATGCAAAATATGATACTCGAAAAATTTTTTAAAAAATATGCATTAACATCATCTTTTTAAAATTTGTTAGTAGTTGATACAAAATAATTGGTTGGTCCATCAATAGAATTAAATAAAACATCAAAGCCTAGGGCTGAGATCAAAGGAGAAATTGATATCAAATTGAAAACTTCAAAATAAATGTTTAAATTGCTTGGAAATTCTATATTGATGTATTTGATATAGGATAAATATTATAATTAGTCCATCAAATTCCAAAAGACATCTGATGAACCTGTTAATAAACAAATAGTAGATAAGATTGCAAGTGAAATAATGATTGCTTCGTTAAAATTTGATGTGACTTATGCCATTTATTTTTGTATCTATGTTAAAACAATAGAAGTTTATAATTAAATATTCTTTTTATTATAAATTAGTGTTTAGTTTAATTCTGATATAATTGAATCATTGAAAAATTCGATTTCAAAAATAGGTAGTTCGATTGATTCAAAAAAAGTAACTCTATAAGACAAAATAATATCTTTAGATATATTCTAATTAATTTCAGCACTTTTCATATCTAAGATATTATATTTGTTTCTATCAGAATTAATAATTCTTGTTTAGATATATTATGTTAAATTATTTTAAACTTTGGATGAGAGTTTAACTTTTTATGTAAATTTAATTTAGATATCTTAAAATTCTTACGAATATGAGGTTAATACATTTATTATAAAATCTGGTTTTCTTTCAAATTCACACATTGATTATGAATGCATTATGTTTATACATACCCAATCTATTTCAATTTAACATTTCATATTACAACCATCTCCATTTTCAGTGTTTCCATCATCACATTATTCAAATTAATTTATTAAAATTCCATCTCCACAAAGAGATAAACATAGTAATTCAATAAGAACCATTCCTTTTTGACATTCATTACAGATTCCTTCTCTACAATCAACACAATATTGATTACATTCAAATTTACAATCATAACATCCATCATTTTAAATTGTATTCATATCATCACATTATTCATTTCCAACTAATAACCCATCTCCACAATATGGAATACATAAATTATTACTAATAATCCATCCCAATTAATCACATTCTTAACATATTCCATTATGACATTATGTACATTATTATTCACATTAATACTAACATTAATAGCATCCATCATATGGCTATTCATTACCATCATCGCATTCTTCATAAAATCTTATAACAATACCATCTCCACAAAATATAGAACAAAGATTGTTATGATCAAGGATCCATCCATCAGTTTGACATGCATAACAAATGCCAAATTAACAATCAATACATTAATTCTAACACTAAAATTTACATTCATGACATCCATCAAAAGGTATAAGATTTCCGTCATCGCATTATTCGTTTCCTATAATTAATTAATCTCCACAAATAGGAATACATTAATTTTAATATATAGTCCATCCTTCTATATCACATTCGTAGCAAAAGCCCTAAAAGCAATTTGTACATTATTATTCACATTTTTAATAGCAATTAATACATTCGTCATTATTAAAATCATTTCCATCATCACATTATTCATTTCCAGTAACTATACCATCTCCACAAATAGGTTAACAGATTCTGCTAATTAAGTTTAATTACCAACCAAACTATTAACAATTAAAACATTATCCATCTATACATGTTGTACATTATTCTTAACAATATAATTTACAATTAAAACATTTTTAACCAACCAATGCATAACCATCATCACATTATTCATCATGAGCAATAATTCCATCACCACAGAAGCTCAAACATTAATTTTTAATTTTATTTAAATAATAACCAAATTGACATTGTGTACAAATACCTTTGAAACAAGAATTACAATAATTATCACATTAAAATAAACATAAATAACATCCATCATAAGGATTATTATTTCCATCATCACATTATTCATCATATTATATATATCCATCTCCACATATGGAAAGACATTTATTATTAAAATAATCTAATTTACTTAATTTATTATCGAATTTTAACATTTTTCTTTCTAAAAAACAAAAAAAATATTAAGGAAAATGAAAGAACTCATCATCAATAATGAACTAATCACCATATATTTCTAAACATTTACCATCAAAATTAATATATCCAACTTCACATAAATTACATTATCCCATTATACAATTTATACATGATTATTAACATTAATATTAAGATAGATAACATCCATCATACATTATAAAATTATTATCATCACATTATTCATCTCCAACAACTAAAAAATCACCAATTTATGGATAACATTTTTTATCTAAATCCAAAAACCATCCTTATATACATTTAAAACAATTGCCTTGGATACATATTAAACAAGAGGCTTAACAAAAATATTTACATTAGAAACAATTAGTTTCTAAAAAATCATCACATTCTTCTTAATTTTATACAAGAATACCATCTCCACAAATGGGTTCACAATGATGTAGTTATCTATTTAATTTCCACCCTATAGAATTGCATTCTATACATCCAAATATAGTACATTAAGTGCAAGAATTTTAACAATGATATTTACATAAACCACAACTATCATTTTTTATCATATTTTCATTATTACAAATTTCATCATAATTTACTAGACTGTCCACATCACAAATTCTTACACACTTTTAAATTGATTATTCTAATTTATATCCTTAAAAACAAGCTCTACACCTTCCTTTATAACAGCTTGAACAATTAACATCACATGTGTATTAACATAAAGAGCAAACATGAATAGAATTATTTATATTATCACATTCTTCAATTAAAGGTACAAGTATATTATCTCCGCAAATGCTTTAACAAGAGCCATCAAATTATAAATACCAACCTTCTTTACATTTCTAGCAGATGCCAAATTAACAATCTTAGCATTATTACTGGCATTCAAATTTGCAATTAAAACAACCCTTTAAAACCTTTTGATTTAAATTCTCACATTGTTCAGGATACACTAAAATTTCATCTTTACATTATGGATAACAATTAGATTATATTAAATAATAACCTTCCTAACATTATAAACACTAAGAATTTATACAATTTTGACAAAACATACCGCACGAAAATTAACATTAATTACACCCATCATATGGATTATTATTTCCATCATCACATTATTCTGTCAAAGTGACAATTCTTGCATCTCCACATTTAGTATTGCATTTACCATCTTCTTATGCGTACCATCCCTTAATTTCATCACATAAAATACATATTCCAAAGTGGCAGATTATACAATTATCTGAACATTTATATTAACAATTTTTGCAATTATCTGAACTATGATTACATTAATGAACAAGTACAAGATTTCTATTTTAGCAAATCTATAAACAATCATTATTAATTAATTCATATTCAGTTTTACATTAATAACATTTTCCATTTAGGCAAATATCACAATTAAAATTACAAGCAAATTTACAATTATCACAACCATCATATGGATTAAAATTACCATCATCACAATCTTCTTAATCTACAATTATTAGATCTCCACATATTGGAAGACATGGTAAATTAATTCCATCATCATAATATCCGGGTTGACAAATACATTAATTTCTTTATATTGATCTATGAAAGTCATTTACACAAGTTATACAATTCTCTTAAGAATCTCCATAACAATTTTCACAATATTTATTACACTTAATACAATTATTATCCTAAAAAAAAGTAAATGGACGACATTAACATATTCCATTTTATAATTAAAAATCATTATTAACGCATTCAGTGCATTCATCTAAACTTTTACATTTGCTGCATCCAATCTAATTACAATTTTTGCAATCATAAATTTCAGTTAATTAATCAAAATCAAGATATTAATTGTTTTCACAATTTGAATTTGTATGTTCTGTTTCCCAATTTTAGCAAGTGTTTAAATTTGTACAACTAGTACAAAATGGAGCACACTTAAAATTATTACTAAATCATTACATAATGAGCAACTATGAAATACTCAGATATTGCACAAAATTCTTAAGTAATGTTTGGTATTTCAATTTCACATTTAAATTCTATATATAAATCATTACTATAAAAATTTGTCAATTCAATATTAAAGAAACTAGTACTTTCTAAATCTGATCGACCAATAATGTTTGATCCTCCTCCATCTTTAATAAAAGGTCCTATGTATGGACTGCTTGTAGACCCTATTTTATAATAAAATTAACCAATATAACCATCACCATAAGTCAAATTAAAATAAACTGATACTGCATAATGAGGTTACTAAATTTTCCAGATTTTAATATATGATCCATCATTCCAAACTAATAAACCTCCTAACACTAGTTTATTATTTAAGAATGAAAACTTTTATTATGTTGCTTAATTTATTAATGGTTATGGGCTTGAATCATAAAATTTATTGATTTCTTAGATAGTCATATTTAAATCATAAAATCCTTTTGCTATATATCTAGAATCTAAAATATAGAGTAATATTTACATGGAGTTATTTAATCATAATCTATACAATTAAAAGAGTGTGGAGGACAGGATAAAACGCATTTGTTTTTATATAAATAATATGTAGTTTCACACTCTGCACAGTTAGAAAAATCAGAACAAACTTTACAATTTTATTAACAAAATCCAGTGTCAATAGTTATATTTCTAAATCCCCAAGATTCTGTATCTTTTTAAAGTTATCCTTAGAGCAAAATTGTAGGATCAGAATTAGAAAGTTTAAAAATCATTTCTATTCTTAAAAGAGTGTAACTAGCATCACAATTTTTTTCATTTTAAAATATTTTTATTAAATTATCAAATATAAAGCCTGAAGAAATTTTAATTATTCTTGATTATAATTGATTGTTATGTAAAATTTCTATTTTGCTTGATTCCTAAAAATTAAAAAGATAAAATGTGATACGAATTCTTAAAAATTTAACTGAATTCTTTAAGTTCATTTTATAGAACATACCTTCATTAAAATGCATTTTTCCAATCAAACTTTTTCCATTGCAACTTTCATATACTAAATCTGCATTTTTTCGATGAAATTTATCATCTAAAAAAATGAGAGGTGTGTATCTTTAATCATTAGATTGAGGAATATCATTATCATCAAAAAATGAGTATTTTGATTCTATTCTATTATCATTGACACAAATTTTATCATTTCCAGCTATAGAAAAATCTCTACTACATTCTTGCCTACAACCTATAAATGTTTCTGAAAACTATTATTCAGAGATACAGTAACATCTTCCCTCTTAAGTATCCTAACTGTCAAAACAAGTTAAACAGTCTGTTTCATTAGGACCCTAACAAGTTAAACAATTTGGATAGCAAGTATTTACAAAGACTAACAAATTTCTTACTCCTATTTCTTTAACGTAGCTATCATCCTCAACTTCAAAATTGGGATTATAACAAAATTCTATAGTAAATTTATCGGCATTTGATGTTACAATAGTACTAACTACAGTTTATAATTCAAATAAGCTTGAAGAACTTTTACAAATATAAACACTATTTTATATCACATCATCTTAGTCGTATTCCCTTGAATAAAGATCATATGTATTTTCTGAACCGTCTTATCTATAATAAACTTTTAATTAGGATTCATTGCTATTAGCTTTATCAAAAAAAACATCAAAAATTACTTAAATTTAAAAGCTCTTGTAGTTAAAGGTTTTATATAAATACTATTGTTCATCCTATAATCTGACATACTGTAACTGATTTACACCACAGGTTCTCCTTATAACTGAATAACCTCCACTAGCACCATTTGAGCAACTATTCTTCATTTTCCAATTATTATCAACTATAGTGATCTCAGAAAAACTTGAGTCAATAAGTCTCCACTCTGCCTATATAAGATTAAGAGAAGTTAGCAATATAATAAATGCCTCAATAAATAATATCATATTTTAATGTTAAATTGTTAATATACAATTTTATGTATATAAATAATCCAATCATGTAGTAAATTTTAAAATTGGTTTAGAATCATAATTATTTTTGGGACTTAAGATTTCACTTTTTTATTTCCTAAGTTATTATTAAATCCATTTTCTTTTTTTAAAATCAATAAGACTTTAATCTTCAAAAGACTGATGAAAGATTATATTATATCTATTCTCTACTTTACAGGATATTAATTAATAAGAAAAGATATTTTTTGTTCGAGTTTCTATAAAACTTTATTTTTATAGAATATTCAACTTTGATTTAATTTTTATTTATATAATATATAAAAAGTTATGATATTAATATAGAATTGATAAATAATTTAAAATGATATTTCATAGTTTGGAGATTGAAAATTAAAATTAAAGGTATTTATAGTAAATAATTTTGAGCAATCCCAATATTAAGGTACTTTTTTAGTGATAAGAACTCTTTAAATAAAAAAAAAATGTGAAATTGGATTCAATTAAATTTTTTTGATTTAAAAAATTAATTTTAGACAGCATACAAGATCTAAACTAGATTTTATTTAATATCAGTATGTATAACAAAGTCTATACTGAGTTTATGAATGAATAAATACTTTTAGAGGAATGGATAAACATTTATTGTGATATAAATTATAAAATTATAAAGTAAAAGGTATTTTATTTTATTAAAATTGCAATAGACCAATATTTTAATTATATATTGATGCCATACAACATAATCAAGAAATATTAATATAATTTATAAACTTTGATTTGATCAAAATGATAATATAATGTTTCTCTTCATCTTATAAATGCTAGTTATTTCAATTTCTTAGACAATTTATTTTATAAATTTATAAAGAAATGAATTATTAAAGTCAATTAAGTGATAGTTTGATAGAACAAAATTAATCACAGGTGTAAATACCTAATTTTCTATTTGAATAAGGCAGAAGTATATTGATAAAAAAAAATCAGATCAAAATGATTCTTTCAATTATCAAATATGTTTTTGGAATGCTATTAGTAAGAATATCTATATTCTAAGATCATTTCCAAATTTATGTTGGTTACAGAAGAAATTAATTTAATTCAATAACATTTTCGATATTCTTTGTAATATATCGATATATGGCTTTATATAACAGGTTATTATTAGTTTTACATTAGTTATTCATAGCTTTATTTCAATGGTTTAGTATAGAGTTATTTAAAAATACTTAAATAAATACTCTATCATTTTATTCTTAGCTGTAAAAATGGGATTAGTGAATATTATTTCTATTGAATAAGGATTGGACTAATAATAATAATAGTAATAAATTGAAGAATAAAATGATTATTAAAATCAATAATTAATTGGTAGACTCTTACTTTTTGATTAAAGAAATATATTTGTATCAAAATTAAGTTAAGAAATTTATGTATTTAGAAAATATATATATTTATTAGGAAAAATTGTAAGACAAGTTTAAATGTTTGAAAATTTTAAATAAATTATTGGTGATAGCATTTTTTTTTATTTAATTATTAGCTGTGATAATATTATTCAATAGTGATAGCCTATTTTTAGTTGATAGATTATTTTATTTTTTATGCATGCTTTATATGATTTTAGTACTTATCTAATTAATTTAGGTGGTTTTATTTGGATTAAACTAATATTTTAAAACTTTTGTATTGGTACTTTTGTGGATAGTATTTTCACCTGTTTTAATATGTTATGAAATTTATAAGTGTTGTAAAAGAAGAAAAGAGCAAAACCTTGAAAAAAAAAAAATATTGAAAGATCTTAAAGAGATCCTTTACGATTAGAGCAAAGATCATATGGAAAGTATTCAAACAATTATAAAAATTAGATACTGATTGTGCCATATGCATGTAAATATTGTAAAACTAAGAAAAAGTTATAGTATTGTCTTGCTCAGAGAAACATGTATTTCATACTGATTGCATAGTGGATTGGCTAAAATTAAATTTAAATTGTCCACTATGTAGAAAATAAGTAATAGATGAAATTTGATATATTTTATTATTATTTTATTTATATCTTTTTGATCATTTTGGAATGAAGATCTTAACTTCACCATAATTTAAATATAAAGGAAAAGCTCCATTGGTAACTTTAACACAATCAGTAGCATAAAAGATGTTACAAAGGCTTGTTCCTTTAATTTAAATAAAAATAAATACCTTCAGCATAAGGATGATATGTAATAGATTTTACTATTTATTTATCATATTTATTAGAAAAGGCAGCAAACAAAGTTCCTCTTGTAAATGCATAGACATCAGCATCTGCATATCTTTAGATTTAATCTTAAGATGCTGCTTTTGTAGTTTTTCTAGCTTCATTAATTACTTTAATAAACTTATACATTTCAGATGTTCTATTCAATATAAAAATATATTTACTAATCTAAATGATTCCATAAAACTTCTCTATTGTTTGGATCGTTTCCACCTGCATAAAATTATTCAGATCCATAATATATCATAGGGATACCAACTGAAGTAAGAGTAAATGCAGTGATTGCTTTAAATTAGAGTTTCTTGAGTGCAGTTACAGTGAAATTTGAATTCTCTCCATAGAATTCAAAGTCTTCAGGAATATAACCAGTAACAGCATCATTTAAGAATCTAGCATTATCATGATTATCATTAAAATTGCCCATATAAGGAAGATTTGCTTTTCCAAATGAATTTGCAATATTGTTGAAAAATGATTCTAGAGTATTCATTCCTTTATTGTGTAAGAATACATCTCTTAAAGTGTAGAACAATGGATAATTTAGTAGTCCATTAATGGGGCCTAAAAATTACTTTAAAAAACCCATATCCCCATCAAAAACTTCTCCAACAGAATAAACTCCTGCTGAATTAGTAAATTTAGTCCAAAAATCAGTTTTGACCATCATTACAGTATCAATTCTAATTCCGTCAAATTAATATTCAGTTATTAACCACTTTATCCATTTGATTAATTCATTTGCTACAAATGTGTTGTCTTAGTTTAAATCAGCTAATCCTGCCAATCTGCATTTTTATATGTTAGCTAAATTATGAGTGTTAAAATCATTATCACTTATGATACAATAATCATGATAATGAGATGATGAATTAAATGGATAATTTTATGAATAATCCTAATTTGTATTTCCCATCTAATGTTAATATTATTATATACATGATTAGCAACAACATCTACCATAACCCAGACACCTTTGTTATGACAAGCAGTAACTAAATTTTTTAGATCCTATGAAGTTCCAAAATTTTTATTGACGTCATACATATTTCTATACCAATATCCATGATATCCATTATCATAATTGTCATTTACAGGTGAAATCCATATAGCATCAAATCCCATGTCTAAATGTATTAATATAATAATTACTAGTTATGTAATCCAAATTATTGATTATTCCTTTATAATCTCCTCCACAATATTTACTCAAATTACATGAACTCGATTTACCAGTACTTGTTGCAAATCTATCAGTTAGTAATTAATAAACTGTTCTTGATTTCCATTCATCCTTTGTTTTGCTTAGTACTTAAAATATACAGAATGACAGAATAATATATTTAATCATTAATTATTATAATTTATTTTTCATGATTCTTTTTGTTATTTTAAATGATTTATTAATTATTCTCCATAAAATGACAAAATTTGATTATTGATATCCCTTAAATCATTTAATTATGTCTATTTATCCACTTTATATTATTATAAATGAGTTGGAGGATATTTTAATATCTCTTAGCATTACTTAATATATTCTTAATTTATTTCTTAAATTGAGTTTTTAATTAAATATTATTACTTAAATAGTTATTCTCTATTTAATTTAATCAAATTTTTTAAATCTTCTTCTAACTCTTTAATTGTTTCATAATTTTTCTTACCAAGAGAGTTAAAATATTCCTTAATTTATTTATTTCTATTTTTTATAATATCATTTTCGAATTCTACATATTCTTACAATTCTTTAAAATAATTTTCTTCTTCCTTTTCACAATTCTTAAAGATATCATCAATATTTTTCATTGTTTCTTCTTCCTTCATTTCTTCATAACTTTTACTAAAAATTGTTTCAATCCAATCAAAAGGAATCAAAGAATACTATTCATAATTAGATTGATATTTTTTCTTTTGTTCATCAAAGGCTTTGTTTCTTTTTTTTTTTATTTCTTAATCTAAAATTATGTTACACTCTGAAATTATTTAATTATGAAATTAATTCCATATTCTATTTTCATATATAACAGCAGGCGATTATTCAGAATTCTAATGTTATTAAATGACTTTTTTAATATCAAGCTTTTCATAATCTAAATATTGTAATTTATTTTTTTATTTCTGTTGTTATTTTCCAATTCTTTTTTCTTATTTTAGTCTCATAAATTAAATCTTTTATTGAAAAATAACATATTATGTTGATTTTAAAATACTTAAATCAGGGCAAAATTTATTTGTTTACTTAAATAATTCAGGTAGGAATTATTCATCTGAATACAGATTATCATAATTATATAATGTCTACATTAGATGAAATTCTAAAATTTATTATTAATTTGAATTTGTGAAATCTATTAATGCTTAGGAATTTTCCATTTCAATCATCGTGCTGGTTTTATTGCAATAATCAATTATAATATCAACTTATTAAAAAAATATTGGACGATTTTTTAATTGTTTCAAATACCTATGCTTTTTCTTTTAATATAATTAACTTAATTTTTTGTCAATGTCAACCAAATTATACTTATCCACAAGATCTAAAACATATTTATTGATGTTTTATATTTTCAATTCTAAAATTCTTTCAACTATACCTTCCATACTATCATTATCTAAAATAATCTGAATCAATTTTTCTAATAAATTGTTAAATTGAAGCTTAAGGCAAATAGATTTGTAATAACGATTAAATAAATTATTGATCTCATTTTTTAGTTGAACATCTTCATTAAATTAAGTAATTTCTTCTGAAAAAATCCAAAATCTTTCCTTTAATTGATTTAATAATGCCTCTTTAAACTTTATAAATCTCTTATCTTATTAATTAGAGTTATCTTAAAAGGAAATTTAATAACCTTCTAAATCCTTTAAAGTATCATTGAAAATTTCTAAAATGTATTAATTTTTATTTTCCTGTATTAGCCACTCTTCAAGAACATTTTAATCTGATATTATTTAGTCAGTTATATACAATGAAGCCAAAAAATAATTATTTAATTCTAAATCACTAATAATATTTTATTATTCTTATAAAAATTGAAATTGCAAAGCTTTTTCAATCTTAATACAATTATAAACTTATTCTAATGTTTCTGCATCAGCTTCGATTAATAAATCTATGATTTAATTTTATTAATAGAGTTTCAATTTTTTTAGTTGTTCATTTATATCTTTAAAGTAGCCTAAATATTTATCTTACTAATCCGTTTATTATTTTAAATATTATTTCATAAAAAATCTTTTCTGAATATGAGTCATTAGATCTTAATTATTAAATTGTTAAAATTTTTCTAAATATTTATTTATCTATGATTAAATATCAAAAGCAGATTTTAATACAACATTCAATTCTTTTCCTTTATCTTGATCGACAAACTATTAAATTTTAGGAAGTAATTCATCATATTGTTCATTTAAAGTTGTGTAATTATCAGTAAGGACAATCTTGGAAACTATATAAATTTTATTATCTTAATTTTTATTAATGAGGCATTAGTTTAAAATGGTTTATTTATTTTATTGTTATCTAATAAAATCTCTGATCAAATTTTCAAATTAAAAATATCCTGATATATTTAACTTTTCTTTCAAATGCCCATATTCAAAAAGCAACATAAAATCACTAATCATAATCTATTAATTAAAATAGATTGGGATGTAAGAGTATTTTCTATTATCCTTAAATTATAAAGTATTCGAAGAATTTATAATTTAAGATTGCTCACTGTTGAAAAGAAATTAAATCCAATTCTGGGGTTGATTCTTATTTTAGGCCATCTTTAATTAATAGAATTTGCTATAAAAATAATTATAATTAAAAAATAACTAAAACTTTTATACAATATTTTTTTCATTAACCCAAAGTTTTAACTTTATCATGACATAATATAAAGAATTCTTTGAAAAAAGAATTGTATTCCATTTCTTCAATCATAGTTTTATGGAGTCCAGTCAAGTATATTTCATGTTATGATTCTAAGAAAAGATATAAATAATATACTCATAAGATTTTCAATCATAATAGCTAATTTATCTATAGCCTATTCATCAAATACACTGACATATCTAAAACTAAATATGATATAATCTGTAAAGGCAAGCTATTTAATTTAATTAATATGATTCTAAAAATAATAATAATGAAATTATACATTAATATTTATATAATTGATTGAACCACTAAATCGATATAAAGTATATGATCCATCAACTTTTGGTAGATCATCTTCGAAATGTTATTCTTTTTCAATATAAGATGATCTACGATGATCATGATCTGTATTTACAATAATTTCAGATGCAGCTCCACTCATTTTTTAAGCAAATAAAAATAAAGAATGTAAACAACCTATAATTGTACTATACATAACTCCATAATTATAACATATCCAAGATATTAATATACATTTAAATAATGTTAATCTTCTTTTTGTTTAATACAATTTAATTAAATAATTCCAAGGTGGAAATTAATATACAACTAATAAAATTTAACCTGCAATAACATATAATGGTATATTCATAAAAAATTAAGAAGCAATTCCATAAAATATGAAAATTGAACAAGCATTTATTATTGATGACCATTTATTAATATCTCTTAATCTAATATTAAGAGTGTACATTCTACTCGATGCACAACATGGTATACCACCAACTAAACCGCTAATAACATTAGCAAATGATACACAAAATGTTTCTTAATCATAATCACACTTAACTTCAGTCAATGATTAAGCACCTCTTGCACATAATAAATTTTGAATGGTTACACAAATTGCTATTGGTATACATAATTAAATTATTTCCAAAATTGATTCAAAACCCAAATTAAGTTCATTTATTTATAAGAAATTAAATTATAGTCTAGTATTTCCATAAACATATCTCAAACATTACTCTGTTGGATATAAATTTCCAATCAATAAACCAAATGATGTTGTTAATAAAACCCAAGGAAAAGGTCTATGAAATTTATATCCAAATTATAAAAACATAAATATTAAAAATGTGTAAAGTACATTATAAAGATCACCTCTTTCATAATATGAAATGTACATCTCTATTAAATTTGAATATAACTTCTAACCTACATTTGTATGATTATCTGTTATACCAAAAATATAATCACTATACAATATTAAAAAAAGGAATCCACTACCTAAGTAAAATCCTTCTATAACGTATTAAGGAATGTAATCTGATAATTAATGCCACTTAAACAAACTAATTAAATAAATCATCAATCCAGATACAAAAGTGGCTAATGGCAATATCTAAATTCCATATTATTGAGTTAGAACATAATTCCAACCTGTAATTGTCCAAGATGGCATATAAATTGAGTGATTACTTCCACTAAAAAACCCATTAACAAATGCAGCTATAAAAGCAGTTGTAAGTCCCATTGCAGCTGAAACTCCTGAATTAGCTCCTAATGCTAAAACAAATGGCATATTTAGAGCTGCTTAAGACATACCACTTTTCCATGTTTCTTATATATAATACCATGCACTTTACAAATCCTGAACTGATAATCTACTTACTATAGAAAATTTTGATTGTCTGACTCCACTTATTTTATGACTTTCTTCTTCTTTTATTTAAGCCATTTCAATCAACAATGGAGTTTTATTCATTATAAAATCAATTCAATTTTAATTAATTATCTTCTAAAATATTTAATTAATAATGTGTCATTTTGTAAAAATAGAATATTAATGAATATCTGATAACACTAAAAATAGATAATAATTTTAGTAAAACATATTTTTAATGATGATTATTTTATAATTAAACATAACTTATCAATCAATTACTAATCCTCTTTAAGGAAGTATATTATTCTATTTTTAGAATGAAATTTTTGATAATAATTTATTTCAATCTCTATTTAATATACAATAGTATAAATTAAATAAAAATATCATGAATCCTATGTCAATTCTTGATTTTTTAAATTTAATTCTTTATGAGCATTTATATTTGCCCTTAATTCAAATAATCCAAAAGGACAGGGGGATATCATATAAGAGTTGCTCTATTCATCTATTTCGGATTGATTATAATTAGATTGAACTTCATCAATATTGAATTATTTAAATACAAGATTAATTAGATGTTAAAAATGATGATCTATATATAATATAAATTAGATACATGCTGTGGGATTCAAGCCTAAAAAAATAGTTTGAATACCTTTAATAAATTAATCAAAATAATCTTCACCCTATAATCTAATGAAACGGATAGCCTATTCAATTTTGATTTAATTATTTACTTCTAAGAACTCTTTTATATTGCATCTAATTGATAATTATTAATCAATCGAATTTAAAAGACTTTATTTGATTCTATTTTATTCAATTTATAAACTCAATAATTAACTTTAAAGTTCAGTTTATACCTATTAAAATATTCCTAAAGACTTTTGAATATCTTTTATTTATAATTTCTTTTGAATATTATTTTTATCATAATTGTCTTTTGCAAAATTTTTGTGATGATAATTTAAGTAACCATTTTAATCTTTACTACTTGTAAATCCATATAAGTTTAACTATCTAATTAATAAAATAGAATATAACCTTAGAAAACTTGAATATTTGGAATGCTTAAAGTATTTTGGTAATACAATTTATTATAAAAGAAATTTATCAATAATGATTATGTTTATTCCTTGATCATCCCATTTAATAATATCATTATACTCATTTTACTTATTAAAAATGAAATTTAATTTTACTTGTAAGATTTTATGGGTTACTTCTATAAATTTAATACCATTAAATTTCTTTTTGTTTTTAATCATTTTTCTTGATAATTTAATGAAGATTATAATAATAATAATATATTATATTTTTATTAACATAAAAATTTTATTTATTATTTAGAAGGATAATTCAAAAAATATTATATCATGAATAATTTTAAATATATAGACAAATAAATAATTTTAAGACATTAGATTTAATCTCATTAAAAAACGATTTATAAATAAAATAAAATCTAATTACGACATAGAAGAATTTGTGAAAATTTTGGTGCTTGAATATTTATATATATATATATATGCTGCTCATAATATTTCCTTCAAAGACACTACTTTCCGAACTTGTCGTTGAATGATTATTCAGAGCTATTTACAAGACTAAAAATATTAATAGAAAATTAATACGAGTTGCCCAACTTGTTGTAAGCGCTGACACCATCATTCATTTTAATCTTTTTGATAGATTGTGGTTCTTATTATTAGGTTGTGTCACAATGTTCAGTGCTTTCATCTAAGATGGACTAATAGTAACCACAATTATCAGAATTGGAAGGAAGATTCAGTGTATTATGAGGTATACTTTGAGTCTTCTAAAACTCATCAACCATTGAGGAAATGAGGTTGATAACTTTGTTCTTCCTAAACTTCAATTTGTGGTTTCTTGATTCAGTATGCTAATTATTGTAATTACTTACTTGAAGATAATCTTCAATGTATTCTTTGCAAACATTACAGAAGATCTTGGTTCCTTTTGGTTTAGGTACAAACTAAAAGTGAATTTAAATATTTACTAGATTTCTATTCTTTTCTTTAACTTCTGCTAGTTTCTTTTCATATTAATTCCTATAATGAGTACTATTTGATAAATGAATAGTCTAGAAAATATCAAAATATAAATACTTGATCTATTTGTAGTATGAACCCATGTTATGTAGGATCTCCATCGTTGTTAAATATTGGTACAATATTTTACATACATCCTAGAGTTCTGAAATTTTAATTTAAACTTACTCGCTATATTAAGGGTTATAATCAATTGCTATCTTAAGATCAAGGCCATTTTTATTCATTGGTTTTATCATGAATACATTCGTTAAATCCAACATAGAGTTTAATTACGCTTGGTAAGTTGATTTTGCTTCCATTTTATATTCTTTTTATATTTTAATTAATGTTATTAAAAATGGAATAATAATATTTTATACTTTTTTGAATAATAATTAATGACACATTATTATTAAAGATCAGATTCTTATTTTATTATATTTATTTATGAACAATTTTCACTATTATAGAGAAACAAGGATTGTTAAAAAATCTATAAAATAAAGATCTGCTCAAACAGTTAATTAATTTAGAGCTTCTATTAAAAGTATATATATTTTCTTAAACTTAAGGTGTACAGCCGGTGGATTCAGTTATTTATAATCATCAAATACAAAGAGAAATAAGGATTAAAACAGATCTATAATTAGACTAAGAGTTATTAGGAACAGCTTAAAATAAAAGATTTAGTAAGTTGCTAAATCAAGTTAATGAAAAACAATTAAAATTAACATCTAAAGTGAAGTAAGAAATATATAAATAATAACCTACATTTCCACCTTTAAAAGGATTTAGTTAACATAGGTATCAATTTAATTATATATATAAGCTAAATAATAGAATAATAACTTGATACTCCAACTTTCAGAAATAAAAAGGGATATTTAAGCAAGACTTTAGAAATTGAAAATTAATCAAATTTGATTGATTTTTAAATAAATTCATTTTGTCATCCAACATTTGATGAATCTAAATAATAAAGTCCAAATAAAGAAAAGAAAAATGTGAGTTTTCCAAAATGTATCTTTTTTTGTGATGTAAAAAAGGCTCGGAACTTTTTCTAAATTCCAAGCTAAATATGATAATTTGTAGTCATATATATATATATATATATATTTGTATAAATCATTTAAGAATTTAACTATCTGAATCCATAGGATTATTTAATTAAGATAAATTCTCTGGAATTTAAGATTCTTCCTATCTAATCAAACTCTCATCAACTGATTTGCTCTCTCTTTTTTAATTATTATTATTTTCATTGCTGTCTTATTAATTAAATGGATTTTAATGATAAACATTTGCCCAAGAATGTTCCATTTATTAATTATATTATGAAGCACCAAATTAGCTAGTGCCTAATTTTTATAATTATTTATTTTCATCTCTAAAGAAATAATAAAATTCAAATATACTTTCCAAAATTTGGTGCTTAAGAATTACATTCACTATTATCCATAGGATTATTAATTACTGAACTCATACTTTTGACAGATTGTCTATCTTTTTGGATTGCATTATTTTTCTAAAGTGAAGCAGCATCTTAAATATATATAAATTATTATACATGAACTTTAATTTTAACTATTTTTATCAATTGTATCTTAATTTATTAATGTTCCATTAAACCATTTATATTCTAATAATATTACAAATGAAAATGCACCAAAGTTAATTGGAGCAAAACAATAATAAAATTGTATAGTAAATTATAAACAAGGACATTCTTAATTTTTTAATTAAATTGTCTTAATAATAGTAAAAATAAATAAAGTAATATGAATTACAAAGAATACAATTAAAAATATACTAATATTATAATAATATCAAATTACTTTGAAAATGTTCTTAATTCTTTTTATGATTTTTTTTAATTCAAAATTAGAAGATTAAAAAGTGTGTTAAATATTAATTGGAATGTGTGATTTATTAAATGAAAAAGTAATAAAACTGAATATTATTGTTTACATTAAAGAGGATCTTCATCTAATAAAATCAAAAAGACAAATATGAATGATGTAAAACAATTTACTTATCTATTAGCTATATCATATGGAAATACTTTTATTGTCAAAATTTCTATTTCCTAATCATTTATTTAATACTAAATACTTTTTATAACAAAATCAATATGTAAGTTTTTACATATAAGGATAACTGTTTATTTATATCATTAAGTTCAATAAAGAATTTTAATGAATACACAATCAATGTCAAAAATAAAAATAAATTCAATGTGTAAATAAGAAAATATTCCAATCTAGGAAAATCTCTCTTAACACAAAGTAAAAATATAGCTGCAATAAAATTAAAAGCTAACATTATGATTGTTAAATAAAGTGTGATTTGTAAAAAGAAATATTCTTCCTTTATTAAATTGTTCATAAGTATTATTATTAGTCCTTATTTGGCATGCTAAAAAAATATATTGATTAGTTTGCTTTATTGCTATTTTTCCTCTTCATTTAAATTAATCATTTATTTAATATATAATGAAAGTGGGTGATATTCCAAATGAAGTCTATAATAGAAGAAACTAAGTTCATCGTCTAGTTGAAATGGAAGAAATGAATCTAAAAAACAATGAAAATATAAATTAACCTCTTGTAAATGAAGAAAGCTTATAACAACCTTTAAAGTAATCTCAAAAAGAACCTGTTGGTTGTTTGGCAAGAATATTTGGAATGTCTAAATCTAAACCATAATAAAAAGAAGAAGAATACAAACCAACTGAATTGAAAGATCATTATGATCTATATGATGAAAGTTGGTTTGATGATTAAAGGAATATTATCTTATAATCATAAGAAACACCAACTCCAGATGGAAAAAAAGAAATTACTCATATAATTTGTCCAGATGATACAATAGAAGGATTAGAATTATAATATGGAGTGCCAGCATGTAGAATACGGACTTATAATAACTTATAAACAAATGATATATTTTATTTGAAAAAATTGCTTATTCCAAATCCTACAAGTGACTATAAAAAATAAGATATGTATATATATAATATTGATATAGTGATATTGAGAAGTATATGTAAGAATTGAAAATTGGACTCTTCTTAGATTAAGTATGTTAACCAGAAGATAAAAGTCGTAAAGTTGCAATGTATTATATAATATCAATTTAGATTTTACTTAGATATGAATAATTGGAGTTATTAAAAGGCTGCCCTAGAATATATAGAAGATTATAAATTCGAATTGCTATAAAAAGAAGCCAAGAAAACATCTACTCGTAAAGTTTATTAGTGATTTTATTTTAAGTTCAAACAACAATAATAATTATTTAATTTTTTTGATTCTCAAAAATACGTATTTAATCTTATAGATGAACATTTTTAAATAAGAATTATAATAAATTTATTAAATTATTTAATTAATGTAAGAAAACAAAATTAAGAAAAACAGAATTATTCATTCATCATTTTTAAAATTACTTTATTAAATTCTGGAGGTTTAGTAAATTAATAATATAGAATCAAGAGTATGAAAATACAATCAGATGGAATGATTTGGGAGACAAATTTATCATTTTAGATAAAGCTACTTTTATATAAAAAATACTACCAAAATACTATAGACATTAAAAGTATTCTAGTTTCTTAAGGTATTTAAATATGTAATTTAAGATAATTAAACCTTTATGGATTCTAAAGAACATGTACTGAAAGAAATAATTCGTGCTACTATAACACATAATTTACTAAGTATAATCCAAACTTATAAATGAAAAAGAAATAAAGAAAATAACATTCATTTAATGAGTTTGAAACTTCTTTTTTGAAAAACTAAATGAATTAAATTAAGATGAGTTAATAATTATTAAAATAATAAATAGATGGATGTTTATAATCAGTTGATAAAATGTCTAGTCTAACTCAATATTTAATAAATGTAAAAATTATATTAATTTACTTAGTTATTATTTGAAACTAAAATATAAACATCTAATTAAGCTAAATCTATATTAAATGCAACCTTAAAAATAGTTTAAGGAATGTTGCCTCAATTTTGTAAATAATTTATAATAATATTTAAGGTCTAACATTTTAGGAATTATTAGAAATTACATTTCCTTCAAGTGAAATCTTATAACTTGAAAATGCTATGTCATATTTCAATAAAAATCCTATTTTACCTTAGGTTTAAATATCAATATTCTAAATATTTAATTATCTATCCTCTTATTATCCAGCCACTTAATTTTCGAAACATAATGAAGCCTTTTCGAATATTGAAAAAACATGTCGTAATTTAGAAGATTTTGCTTGTTAAAATTAATAATTAAGAATTTAAGATTGAATAAATTTTAAGAACTAAATAAGATTATTGTATCTCTAATTCAAATCATTTAAACTTAAAAACAATCCATTTAATTCATATTGTCTTCAATTTATATTTTTATTATTATAAATTTAAATTGATTTATAATAGGTAATGTAAAAATAAACATATTGGATGGATTCTGTTAATTACCCTATTCCTTTCTTAATATTTCTCAAATTTAACTATTTTCGATATATACCATAATTAAATTTGTTTTTATATAATATTTTTTAGGTATTTAAGAATTCCAATTTTTCCTAAAATTAATATCACTCGATAGAAATGCATAGAAAAAATAAACAAAGGACAGTAATTAAATTCATTGAAGTCACATATGAAATGTTAAATGTATAAATAGTTATAAATTTCATTAGCAAAATGAATTTCATGATATTATAAGATGGGATGAAGAAGGATTGAAAATTCAAATTCTTGATAGGGAACTATTATAAGAATTAGTTCTATCTAAATATTTTAAACATGCCAAATATTCAAGTTTCCTAAGGTTATAGATAAAATCCATATTTATAGATAACTTAATATGTATGGATTTACAAGTAGTAAAGATCAATATGGCACTTTAACATATTATCATCCATGTTTTGCAAAATAAAAAGTTTTAATGAAGAATATTGTTAAAAAGAAACATTAAAAATAAATTCTAAGAGATACAAGTATTTTTGGTGTTGATTAATCTGAATTAAATAATTAAATCAAAGCACTTTAATTTGAATAAGTAAAAATTTAGTAAAAACTCTTATCCTCAATTGAATATTAAATTAAAATTAAAAATAGTATTTTACTATTTCTACAAGTAACAATTTATTTAATCATTTTAAGACTAAACTTTCTATAGCAAAAGAAGGTGAAAAAAATTGTAGATTATTTATTGAAAGTATTCGTATATTAGTAAAAGGTATGAAAATAGAGTCACGTAATTTTTAAATTAATTTATTGTATAGAAAATGCTTTTTAATTATTATTCAAATAGCTGTTCCCATAATTTTTACAAGATGATCCAGAATCAATTTAAATAATAAGTGAGATTGAAGAATAAAGCAACCAATATTTATTTTCTCCTACACCTTTTGGAAAAATTGATTTTGATTAGGAATAGTATTCTTATCCTCAAACATCATAAGAATTAGAGATTGAATTTTTAGGTTTTGGATTTGAATTGTGATTTGTATTTAAATATAATAATCTAATTCGATTTTATTATTTACCTTATCTAATATTTAATTATTACATTTACTCTATTTATTTATATTTTCATATAGTAATTAAGAATTTACTTTAATAAATATATAATTTAGATTAAATTTTCAACAAACAAATTATTGGATAGTAATCATAAGTTATCTAATTTTTTGTCATCCTACAAAATTTAAATAAAAAATTACAGTTTTCTTTTAAGGATATTAATTAAAATTATAAATAAACATTATTTTATAAAGAAAAAGAGATTGATTTAAAAATCTATAAACATCTATTTTTCAAATCATAAATAATAAATCATTTTTTGTTTTATTGTTTCTAAATTAAATTTATGATCTAATCAAGCTTTGATAATAATGTCAATTAATGGGTATTTTATTACAACAATATAATATCCAAACGTTATTATAGTTTTTGTAAACCATTTGCATCAGTATAAGCATATTATTAACAATAGTTTTATTCTTAAGTTTAGATAGGCATTTAAAATAATGATTAATTATATACAGATGAAATTGGATTAATAATTGGTGCTTGTTAGTATTATTATTAATTTGGTTGATATGCTTAAGTTAGAATAGGTAATTATATACAATATGGTTAATCTTATTAATTATATTGCTATTATTATCCTGTAAGTCTGGAATCTTGATTTAAATATTTATATTAAGACGATTAACATTCAAATTCATTTTATTTATTTAATTATATATTTTATTATCTTAAAGAATTTTAAGTTTAATTTTATTATTACTATGAAACTTTATTTTATACTTTAGAATTATTTAATTTATTATCTGAAAAGGTAGGTTAACATATAAATTGTTAAATATTATTTTCTTAAGGTTAATTTTAACATTATTATTATTAATGACCTTTTGGACTAGGACTACTACTTATTGATATAGGTTAAAAATCTTATTCTAATTGATTATTGTGTTATAATTAGATTTCATGTTTTTTTTTATTATTTTCAATCTAAGATGATTGATTTAACTTTTAATCTTTTTTGATATTACTATTATTATTATTATTATTATTTCTAATATCATCCAATTCAAGAAAATAAGCTATTTTTTGTTCTAAATCTTTTGCTATTTCATTACTATCATCCAATTAATTTTTAGAAATATCCTTATTCTATTATTAATCATCTTATCTTATTTTCTACCGTATAAATTTATTATTCTTGTTATCTTATTCTTTATCTTTTTCATTTTATAAATTATTGATATTTAAAATAGGAATTTAATTGTTTTATTAAAGAGTACTTTAATTATTGGTTTCTATATTATTAGATTATTCTACCAAAGGAACTTATAATTGTATATCATTTGTTTTTTAATTATTTTATTTAATTATTGTTTAAATTAAAAATTTAGGTTTTAACAATTTCTTATTTTATCCTTATTAATCATCATTAGTTTTAATTAGTTTTTTTTATCCTTCTTCTTATAGATTATTTTAATTTAATTCCTTTTGTTCTTGATTTATATCAGTTGATAAAGATTCATTATATCTTTATTTATTAATCTAATTTTAGTCTTATTAAATTATTGGAGCTATTTTTTTTGGTTCTTTAAGAACTTATTCTAAGACTTATTAATTTAGCTTTTGTTTTTTAATGATTTATTGATTTTTTTAATTAATTTTAGATTCCTTTTAGGTCTATTTATTGTTATTATCTTAAATCTATTATTCATTTATTTATTTCTACTCTTCTTGTTAGTTTTGAGTTTAATTAATATCATTTTATGGATTTTCAATTTTAATCTTAACACTCTTAATACCTTTTGGTTTTCTACTTCCAACAATAAGACATTCTTTGGAACCAATATCAATTTTACAATCACTCTTCTTAGATTCCTCTATCCACAATTTAATTTAAGATGTTGGTATATTAGTTACATAGCCTATATATCTTATATCAATCTCTGTTGGATTTTCACCTAAGTCCTAAAGAATTTTCTCTTTTATTGTATTATTTTGAGGTTTAACTTCCATTTATTTATAGAGTATGTTCAAAAATAGATATTCATATATCATTTTTTTGAAATCATTCTAATAATTTTCCATGAATTAATAATTTTGATAGAGAATATTAAAAGTAAAATAATATTAGCTATATTTATTAAGTATGATAAATATAAATAAACTTTAAGAATTAGAATATAAGAATATATATAATCACATTTAAAATATCAAAAAAATTCATAAATTCAATTATGTCTAAATGTTAATTGTGGATCTATTTATAAAAAATCATTAAATTTTAAGATATTTTATAGTTCTTGTATTTCAAATTTATCTAATTGTTAGAGATCATTTTATTCTTATCATTGTTATTATTATTGAATAGGTTAAACTGTTTATTTTTATGGTATTTCTTCATCTTTTCAATACTAAGGTGAAAATTTTGCAATTTATCTTAATTAAGGTTATTATTGTAGTCTTTAAGATTATAATTCATAATGTCTTACACTAATATATATAATAACAATAATAATTTACCTATTTTTTAAGAATTTTATCTTTTGATTTTTTCATGAGCTTATACTCTAATTCTATTTTCATTAAGACTAATTAAAGAATTATCCAATTATCTAGAAACTTCAGAATAATTATAATATTTCCATAATTTGTTTCCATTAGTCAAGAGTTTCAACTTTATAATCAAAAATATTTTGAGACTTGTCACCTTTACTCATATTAACAAAAATAAATTTTCATTATTATTCATTATTTTTTTATGCATTTAATTCTTCCATCAAAGGCCCATTTTCATCAAAGAATTTAGCAAAAATCTCTACTTCTGCAATTAATTTTTCATTATCAAGCATTAACAAATCCTTTAATAGATAATAATAATTACTTTTTCTTTTTATAATTATTCTGAACATGCTTTAAATATTTATACAACTTCATTCATTTTAATAATTTATTATTATTCAATATCTGTAGCCTTTTTAACTCTATTTAATAAAGCATCAATTTTTTGAGTTTTTTCATCTAATTTTCTTTGTTCCTCTTCTACTAATTTTATTTCACTTTTCAAGCTCTTTTCTAAATTCTCCAATTCATTCTATAAAGTATCAACATCAAGTTCACCATTTTCTAAACTGACTTCATTCATTTATTTTTAAGCCTTTTATACTAAATAATCAAATTGTTTATTACATCTATTTTCTAAAGCTGAAATTTGTTATTCATATTTATTCTTGGCTTATATCATTCTATCTTAATAATGTTTAGTCAATTAAGATTCCTTGTCTTTCAATTCTTATAATTCTTTCTTCTTCAACTTTATCATCTCAATTAGTTTCTCATCATTATCACTTTACAATATTTATCTAGGTTGGAATGAAATAGTTGTTCTATAGTGATTATCATTCTTATCTTAATGAAGACGTTCATCACATTTGAAACAGATAGACAATTTGCATTCTTTGCATGTTACAATTGCAATATATTAGAAACAGGATTGACATTAAGGATTATTCATATAATGTAATAATTAATATTTTCATAATTTAATAATAAAATAGGAATATAAATAATATAAGTTTTGAGTTAATAAGTATTTAAAGTTCAATTTAGAATTTAATATCTCATAGATGAAGTACATTCTTATTAAATATTCATATCTACCTTAAAATGATGAATATACGAAGTAAATAATAATAAATTTCTATTAATTATTATTTAATAATAAGAACATAGAATTATTATTGTAATGGAAACTAAGTAAGATATTATAATAAGTTGACAGTAGAGATTTTATAATGATAGATTAACAAAATTTAAATATTATAGATATATTATAACAAAATCAAGATCAAATATTTAATTCCATAATTATTCCTAATATTGAAATTTGATATTAATTTGATTATAATATTTTATGAAATTAGATGAAATTATTGCTAATCCACATTTATATCCTCCTAAGGAAAGAAAAGAACCAAAATCAACTAATTTTAGTGACAAGCAAGAAATGAATAAATTAGACTAATTGTTCAAAGGAAATTAGATTGAGAATAAAGGAATTGCAATAGAACCAAAAAAAGAAGTTTAATAATAAAATTAAATCGACAAGAAAATGTCTCTTAAGGATAACTATTCATTATTATATGATTTCAAAGTAGGAGATAAAAAATTAAATAAATACACTAATATATAATAAATCTAAGAAATAAAAGAAATTCCATATGTTTTAGACAATATTGAAAAAAGAGAAAGACAATAATTTTAGATACAATCATAATTAGATTAGACAGATATTTTGAAATAATTTGAAAAAAAAATACATACTTTAGAGATTTTTAAAGAAGTATAGATTTCTAATAAATAAATGGAATTTTTTGAATAAAATAAAGGATTACTCATAACTAGTATTACTTGTTTTGAAAATATGGTAGCCATTGGAACTGCCAAAGGTAAAATATATATCTAATTCAATAATCAAATAATTTTATTGGAACAAAGTAAAAAAATCAATCCTAATCCAATAATCTGTTTAAGATTTATAGATTAAGGTACAAAATTAATAGGAATATCAGAAAAACACGTTTTATTATATATTAAAAATTAATTTGTAAAGGCATTTGAATTGATAATTGAAGGTGTTCCTGTTACAATGACTGTTTGTTAAAAGTCTAAAAATTTTAAGATATAATTATTAATGACTGATTCATTAGGGAATGTGTATGGGATTAGGATTAAATAAACACTATTAACTTATTCAATGTAAATAAAATAAGAATTAAAAGAAAATACTACATGTCATTAAATTGAATCTATAATATTTTAGGATTAGGAATTCATCTTATTGACATTCAAAGATTAAATACAAATAATCAATTTAAAACCAGAATATCAATTATTAATTAAGTTAAATTATAAAGTTTAAGAGAATAGATTCATTTAAGCAAAATGGTAAACCGAAAAGAAAACAATATAAATAGCAGTCAGTAATGAAAATAAATTAGAAGTTTTATCAATTTAATTTGAGAAATAAAAAGATAGATTGAAATGTAATTTAAATTTGTTATGTGAATACAGTTTTAATAATGAAGATATAAAGTATTTAATATGGATTAGTAATGATATTATATTTATTTAAAATGAAAGAAAGATGTATTCTTTAATATCAATTTCTGAAATTATTGAATAAAATGTAGAAATTATATAGAAATAATTAAGTCAAGAAATTTAAAGTTAAAAGATGGGAGAAGTATAATATTTTGAAAATTCAATTTGTAATTGGTAAAATTTTGTGTTTTTTATATCAAAAGAAGATTAATAATAGAAATAACGAATTATCTATTATAAATTAAATACTTGGGAAGATTAGATGTAATAATTTTAATTAAATGATGAATGGAAAGAATAATTTGGAATGGGATTGTATTTGTATTAAGGAAAACTTATAAAATTAGGTAATCTTCCTAGAATTGGAAGATAGGAGTATCTAAAACCTCATTTGCATAATTAAATATAAAGATTTGTTGAAAAAAGTTTAAAATCACAATATTCTAATTCATTCTATATTGCAATAAATTTTTTAATAATGATTGAATCATATGAATTTCTATTTAATCAAATATATTAAATCTATAAAAATAATAGATTAGAAAAATAATTTTATTAAAGTTTGGAACCATTTATAAACAAAGGAGTCATTAAATAGATTCCAGCAGATACATTAAAAGAAATATTGGATTATTTGTTAAAAGATGATAAATTGAAATTAATGAAGTTATTAATATTCAATTTAGACAAAAAATTTATAAATTCTAATCTTATTAAAGAATTTTGTATTAAATCTAATTTATAGAGTATATTGATATATATACCACCTAAAGAAATAGAAGATTATAAAACACCTATATTTACTATTTTTGAGATTTATTAAAAATGTTTAAATAAAAATTTTTAAGAATTAGAATATTATTTAAAATCAATAAAAATGGATATTTAAAGTCTTAGTTAAAAATNTAAAATAAGAATTAAAAGAAAATACTACATGTCATTAAATTGAATCTATAATATTTTAGGATTAGGAATTCATCTTATTGACATTCAAAGATTAAATACAAATAATCAATTTAAAACCAGAATATCAATTATTAATTAAGTTAAATTATAAAGTTTAAGAGAATAGATTCATTTAAGCAAAATGGTAAACCGAAAAGAAAACAATATAAATAGCAGTCAGTAATGAAAATAAATTAGAAGTTTTATCAATTTAATTTGAGAAATAAAAAGATAGATTGAAATGTAATTTAAATTTGTTATGTGAATACAGTTTTAATAATGAAGATATAAAGTATTTAATATGGATTAGTAATGATATTATATTTATTTAAAATGAAAGAAAGATGTATTCTTTAATATCAATTTCTGAAATTATTGAATAAAATGTAGAAATTATATAGAAATAATTAAGTCAAGAAATTTAAAGTTAAAAGATGGGAGAAGTATAATATTTTGAAAATTCAATTTGTAATTGGTAAAATTTTGTGTTTTTTATATCAAAAGAAGATTAATAATAGAAATAACGAATTATCTATTATAAATTAAATACTTGGGAAGATTAGATGTAATAATTTTAATTAAATGATGAATGGAAAGAATAATTTGGAATGGGATTGTATTTGTATTAAGGAAAACTTATAAAATTAGGTAATCTTCCTAGAATTGGAAGATAGGAGTATCTAAAACCTCATTTGCATAATTAAATATAAAGATTTGTTGAAAAAAGTTTAAAATCACAATATTCTAATTCATTCTATATTGCAATAAATTTTTTAATAATGATTGAATCATATGAATTTCTATTTAATCAAATATATTAAATCTATAAAAATAATAGATTAGAAAAATAATTTTATTAAAGTTTGGAACCATTTATAAACAAAGGAGTCATTAAATAGATTCCAGCAGATACATTAAAAGAAATATTGGATTATTTGTTAAAAGATGATAAATTGAAATTAATGAAGTTATTAATATTCAATTTAGACAAAAAATTTATAAATTCTAATCTTATTAAAGAATTTTGTATTAAATCTAATTTATAGAGTATATTGATATATATACCACCTAAAGAAATAGAAGATTATAAAACACCTATATTTACTATTTTTGAGATTTATTAAAAATGTTTAAATAAAAATTTTTAAGAATTAGAATATTATTTAAAATCAATAAAAATGGATATTTAAAGTCTTAGTTAAAAATAAATTGATGAAGAAATATAATGTTTAGGTTATAAATGTATATGGTTTATGAGTTTATTATTTAAAGGATAAGAATTCTCTTAAGAAAAGATTCCTGATAATTATTGGCCTTAAATAATATGCGATATTTTATTATGGATTTTAAATAGTGAAATATTGGAAAGGTTTTTATTAATTGATGCTGGTATATTTTTAAATGAACTCTTATTAATTTTGAAAGATAAAAAGATTTATAATAAGCTATAAATCTTTGAGAGTATATTAAATGATAATTTGCATGAAGAAACTACTATTTGTGAGATTATCATCAAAAAAATAGATGTGAAAATTAAGAAATTAAATATGGTAAATTAATTGAATTCATTTATTTTGGAAATAATGAAACTAGGTTATTAAATATCTTATGATGATTTTTTATAAGTTATGATTTACAATTTAAGATATCCTTATGAGAATTTAAGAGTTTTTATAGAGAAAAGTAACTATAAATTCGAAAAGATGGAATATAAAATATAAAAAGATATGAAAGATTAAGATAAAATAAAAAGAGATAATTTATTAATTTAATATATAACATTTTTCACAAATAAATTATTAGGTGATGATTAATCTTTATAGACTATATTATCGGAAGCTTCTTGTTCAATACTTTCATGTTCAAGAATTCAATCTGAAATATATTGTTTAAAAGGAGATTGGATAAAATGTATTAGTACTATGTTAGCATCAACATCATAAATTGATAAAGTATTTTAATATAATTAATATAATTATAGGAATTTATATTTAATTATATTGATAGGATACTCAATTCAAATCAATTTATAAATTAGAAAGAGAATATTATAAAATATTGTTTAACTATTGTTTCATAATTGGTAAAAATAAATTTTAATTGTTTATAGGCAGATATAAGTGTTGAAAAATTAAAGATACTTTTACAATATTTTCCAAATGATTTATATAAATAAGCAATAGATTAATTAGATAATCATCCAAATTTTAAATTGTATTTGTTGAATTAAATAATAAAAGAGTAAAGGAATAAAAATCAAATTATTGATAATAAAATTATGATCTCTTATTTAAGGTTATTATGTAAACATCATCCAGAAGAAGTATTAGAAGAATTACAACATGGAGATTTTCCATAAGAAGATTGTATTATTATTTGTAAGGAATATAATATAATGAAAGGAGTTGCATTTCTTAAAGAAAGAAGTGGAAATTTTTAAGAGGCTTTAGATATTTATTTTGATGTATAATATTAAATAATTACTTAGGTAATAAGTACAGATTTTAATAAGATAGAGATTTAATAATCTTAAATTGAATTAACATAAGAATTATTAATTTTAATATTACCTTGTTTAAAAATATGCAGAGAAAATTGTTCTAATTAAGATAATAATTTTAAATTTTGGATCACTTGTGTTAATAGAATGTTAAATTTACGTTCACAATTCAGTTTATAAATAAATAAGTTTAAATCTATTAATAAAGTATTTTAAGAGATTTTAATTGAAATGCTTGAGAGAGTCCATCCAAAATTGATTATTAATAATTTAAGTTAACTATTCAAACCTTTTACAAATATTGAAGAACTCAGAAGTACAACTTTATCATTACAAAAGTTATGCTTTTTTTAATTAATTACACATGAATAATATATAGGGAATCAAATATATAAGAATTTTTAAAAATTATAAATGTTATATTATTAAGAATTAAAAGGCACTCATATAATTTAAAGATGTCTCAATTGTTAATTGTAAAATGAATAATTTATGTATGCATTTTTGTCGTGTTGTCATATATATCATAAATAATGTTTGCATATGATTAAAAGTATAAAGGTGTGTAAGATTTGTTTAGAAAGGGGAATTCATTCTAATTAATGTACTTTATTTATAGATTAATTTAATTAGTATAAGTATAATTAGAAATATTAGTAGACAACAATTATGAATAATCTTATGATTAACAAATTAAGTAACCTACACAAGAAGAATAATTATAATTATCAAAGTAGGAAAAAAGAACATTATAAATTAATAAATGGAAAATACTTGATATTGAAAACGAATATAAAGAATATATGTACTGAGTTGATATTTTTAATATTTTAAATTAAAATGCATACATAACCAGATCAAGAGCGTCTTAATACATAGGCAAATTAACCAACAGAACCTATCTAAAACAAAGCTCCATTTTTTGATTTAGACTCTTCAGGTGATTCTTTAGAAGATGGTAGAGTGACTAATCTATATTATCAACGGTATTTGATTTTGTTTTAATCATTTTAGTTTTAGGATGATGGATTTGAGTTTTTTTGTCTTTAATTTTATTGGGACTGGTTTAACAGTGATTACTTTAGAATTAATACATTATGATGAATTACCAGAAGCACGATTGGTGATCCTATGGGTGATATTCATATCAAATTTAATATTAATGGGATTGGCTGTAATTAGGAATCAAGTAAAACTGAAATGGAGAGAGAGTAAAGGAGATGTCTATAGTGGATTTACAAAGGAGCATGTAGAGTTATTAATGGAAATTATTATAATTACTGCATCTCCTTTACCTTTTTTAGATGATATCAGTTTCTATTTTACTAATGATTTTGTTGATGGAGATGTAAGGTATTTATAATAGGCAGGTATATTATTATGCAAATGAATTACTATGTTTGACTCTAGCATTTCGAGTAATCTTTTTTATTCGTACAACCTTATTGAATTCATATTGGCATTCAAATAGAACTGATAGAGTATGTAGTTTATATGCCAGTTAAGCTGATTATATGTTCACCATCAAATCTTTAATGAGGTAATTATAGATCAATGAATAGAAATTAGCCATTCACTGTAAATTATAGTGCTATGATACTACTTATATTTGTATTTGGTTATTGTTTAAGAATATGTGAAAGTCCATTAAATAGAATTGATATTAGTAGTAATGATTTTAGTAGTTATGCTAATTCAATGTGGTGTGTTATAGTTACAAGCACTACTGTATTTAATATAAATTAAATTATAGTTAGGATATGGTGATTATTATACAAGAACACTATTAGGACGTATAGTAATGAGTGTAGTTTGTATATTGGGTAATTTTGTTGTATCTTCAATGATTGTAATCATTACAAATGAATCATATTTAACTACGTTGGAAAATAAAGTTGTTATTCTAATTGATCGTTTGAGTTTAAAAAAACAAATGTAATAAGAAGCAGCTATGATTATTACTATATTTGGTCGTATGCATTATGCAAAAAGGTATAAAATTTATTTTTATTCATTTTGTTAGACATCTAGATTTATCTGAAGATGAATTCACAGATATGAGTAAGAAGATGAAAAAATATGCCATTTAATTAAAATTAACTACACGTAAATATGTTGCAGCCAGAGCTTTAGGAAGTTAATTAGAAGAAATCAATAGTGGATTTAATTCACTTAAAGAAAACCTTAAATAAACAACTTAATTGTAGGAAGAATTAATAAAAGCAAATGAAAATCTTATTTATAAGATAGATAATAAATGAATTAATATACTTTCTGTAATCAATAAATATATTTTTTTTAAATAAATGTAAAGATCAATTATTATTATAATGAAATTTAAAATTTAAGGATAAATAATATATTAATATAAATTTATATCATGATTTTTTGAATGCTCCAGATAATTACACTGATCCCATTCTTTTAAATTAGGATGCTATTTTATTCTTTTATATTTGTGCTAATTGTTCTTATGACATTTATTTCTAAATGGATGCTTAGGATTAATTTTAACTTATTGTTGCCTAATTAAATTAAATTATATTAATACATAAGATTAAGATAATGGAGTTTAACTATGTTATTTACTCTACGAATTTGATTTTTCTTAAGCTTCTTTTATTTTCGTAGTCTATTTTTTGGTATTAGTTTTTGGTTATTGCAATCCAAATGGAACTGAAATATTTTATAATGAACCACGACTATTTAAATTTGAAATAAATAATTACGCAAGTTAAGTTGTTGGTTTAAGACTTTAAGAACTTTGGAAAGTATTTGGTTTAATTACAGTTGAAGCTCTCCCTGTTGATCTCTAAAAAGGATTTTAAACTTTCATAGTATTATGAACAACACTTTTTCTTTAATAAGGTTATGGATTTTCATGTTAAGAACTACTACCAAATACTTTTGTCTCTTATTAACCTTTAGGTTTAATTTTAAGAATTCTTTTTTTCTCTGGAGGTGTAAGATTTAATTCAACTGGTTCTGCTGCTTATCCTTCATTACCTGCTGGTTATATTTCCATAGCAATTATTTTATTTTCATCTAACATTTCATTATATTTAATAACATCATCTTCATCAAATTCAATAACATTTTTTTACATGTGCTCAATTAAAGTGTCAAAAGATTAACGATAAAATAAATTGGCTAGAATATTTGTTAAATTAGTAGAATTTCTTTAATAAGTTTATCTCTTCTTTTATCTATAAGCTAAATAAATTAATTAAAGTTCATTCATTGCTTGAGATAATGAAGTTTTAATGAATTTATTCAATACTTTTGATAATATTTTACCTTTATTTGGTATTGCACATTCACTAAAAGGTGAAGAAGGACTCTTATTATTCTTATCTGAGTTGATTCTACCTCTCAATTATTCATCATTCAGAATATTTTAATATATATTTGATCTATCTTTCTTAGATCCTCTTTCTAATTATTTGAGAAACATCTTATCAGTTTCTGAAATATCAGAATTTGTAGTTCTATTTACAATTGCAGGTTCATCTTATCCATTTTCTGTTATTCCTATCTTAATTATATTATTATTGTGTTATTCAATTTATTAAATTTAAGACAATCTCTATGTAGGTCTTCTTACAAAATTTTATTCTTGATATTTTGGAATCTTCATAGTGATACCACCTTTAATTTATTTAATATAGGTTCCATCTTTATTCTTAATAAAATCATTATTTTTATAATATGCCAAAGATCTATTATTAATAATTTATCTTTTGACTAAATGTAAACCATTTTCTTATAATTCATCCATTTCACCTATCTAAATCTATTCATTTTTATAAGGTTTTAGAATGAACATTTATACATGTTTTTCTTTATTACATAGTTCCTCTTCAATCATTTATAATGTCTCATTTTTAGCAATAACTCTTTATAATATTTAATTACCAACTTCAATCCATCCTTACTTTGTTAATTCTAATTAAAATTAAACTTCTGTTCTAGCCAGATATTTAATATCTTATATTAATTCATCTATATCATCACCAAATGTATTTTCATTTGTATATCTTCTTTAAAGTCTTCTCTCATATTTATTAGTATGTTAATTCTTTATCAAAATCTCTTCCTCTACATATTTTCCATTAACACTTAATTTTTAATCCAAAATTCTAATTTAATTTTATTCATCAACTGATCTATATTAAGAATCTCTATGTTCTTAACTATCTTCATCAATTTAATACATTGATCTTTTATTCTAATTCCATTATCTTATTCCTTGTGGTATTTCTGATTCACTTAATTTTCTCCAACCTTATTATTAAGTCTTTTAATATTCATTAATAACAATTCTGGATCTAATGATAAATCCATTTGGTTATTTCTCATTTAAATTCTTACTTATTATAACCTCAGTAATATTAACCAATTTCTAAAGTGCATAAAATTCATTAACTTTTCCACTTCCAATTATCTCTGTAATTTCCTCTACATCTTAATAAGGATTATAATCAGGATCTATATTAGTGACTATCTTTCTTGCAATAATTTGATTACCTGAATCATCTCTTTCTCTTAAACCCTCTCCAATCTTCAAATGTTAATTACCTTAATATGGAAATTTAAGTTCATGTATTTCTTATTCTTATGTATTAGGATTTGTCAAAATATGATCTTCTTCAAGATAATATAATGAAGTAGGATCATCTGGAATCAATTTATTTGATAATATTGGATTAATTACATTATGAATCTTTTTCTCTAATTATCCATTTGTTTTACTCCAACCTTCATTAAATAATTATCCTTATGATTAATTATTTTTTATTATTTTTCTAGACAATAATAATCCATCACTTGGATTAATTAATTCTTCACCTTCTACATATGGACGACGTCTTAATACTAATTCTTATTTGCCAGTCTCTGAATTTCTAATTAATACTTATTCTTCAACTAATTACAATGATTCTTATGCATTCAATAACAATTCCAAATTTCCTTAATTTTCTTTCCATCCATCTTTCTTTTATTATTCTGAAGATAACAAATTCTCAACCACTCTTCTTGAAATAACAATATTTCCTTTATCATCTGTCTCTTATAAATTATTACCTAATTATGCTGATGCTGAAAATACTCTTCTAATTAATTTTCTTTCCATCATTCCAGTCTATTCATTATATGATAGAACTTCTTCTTCTATAAATTTTATTGGTTCTTAGGATGCAACAACAATCTCAAAATGTCCATCCTCATTTTATTTCCAATCATCACTTGAACATAAATTTGAAATTATTCTTCTTGATATAACCTTCTATCCATTATTAATTTCATCAATTATTTAATCTCCAATAATTGCATTTCTATCATCTTCTGTAAATGGTCTTCTTATTAATTTTCTTTCTTGTTTACCTGTTTTTGGATTAATCGTTATAATTTCCTCCTCAACGTACTGTTCTGGTTCTTCATGATTAATTACTTTTACCAATTTACCATCTGATTCTCTTCTCCATTAAGCTAATGACCCATTATTTTCAACTAATTTTCTTGATAATACAATTGTACCATCATCTTTACTTTCATTAATATTTTATCCCAAATTCAAATTTTAATCATTATATGGTCTTCTAATCAATTTTCTTTCCATCATCCCTGTCTCTGGATTCACTTACAAAACTTCCTCCTCTATATATTTCATTGGTTCAGCTTCACTTATTTAATGAATCAACACTCCTTCATCATTTTATTACCAACTAGTAAATGCAAAATCACTATCAACAATTCTTCTAGCTACTACTTTAGTACCATCATTCAATTATTCATTAATCTATTCTCCAACTTTAAATTTATCATCCTCCAACATTACAGGTCTTCTTGTTAATCTTCTTTCTTACTTCCCTGTTCTTGGATTATACACTAAAATCTCTTCCTCAATGAATTTTTAAGCTATAGCTGATAATATTTTTTCTAATGTTCCATCAGCTAATTTTGTCCATCCTTCTTTTTTCAATTAAGTTAAAGATTAAACATTTTCAATCAGACGTCTTGCTAAAATTCTATTTCCTTATGCATCTTTCTCTTTAATATCATCCCCTAATTTTAGATTTTAATCTTTAATAGTGTATTATCTTCGAATAAGTTTCCTTTGCATTTATTTCGTTTACTTATTGACAATTAAAATCTCCTCTTCAATATATTTGACTGGTTCAGCTGCACACAATTATACTTCAAACATTCCAGCAGATATTTATTTCCATCCTTATTACAATTAAAATTCAGATGAACTATCATTCTCTACTATACGTCTTGATACTATCTTTTTTCCACCTTATTAATCTAGAATATTATCTCCCATTTCCATTTTTTCATCTCCTGGTTAATATGGTCGTCTTGTCAATCTTCTTTCCTATTTACCTGTCTTTGGATTTATTATCAATACTTCCTCCTCTATAAATTTATCAGGTTCCTGAACATTTATTGTTTTCTCTAAAACTCCTTAATGATTAACCCATCCACCCTTTTGTAATTATTAACTCGATTCTACATTCTCTACTATTCTTCTTGATAGAATCTTATTTCCATTTTGATCAAACTCCTTCAATTAGCCCAATTATAAAGTGGAATCTCTTTTTGCATCATATTATCTTCTTACTAATTTACGTTCATATAATCCACTTTCTTCATTATAAACTAATATTTCTTCTTCAATCATTTATGATGGCTCTGTCATTGTTATTTCCAAATTTCCATCTTTCATTTTCCATCCTTCTTCATTCAATTAATTTAGAGATTATTCATTATCCACTATCCTTCTTGCTAATACTCTCTATCCACCATTTACTTCATTTAATTAATCACCAATAGCTACATTTTCATTATAATAAGGTTTTCTTATAATCTTTCTTTCCTGTTTACCTGTCTTTGGATTCACAATAATAACTTCCTCTTCAATATATTACAAAGGTTCTTAAGATATCACTTTTTCTTATTTCTAAACATTCCATCCATCAGCTTACAAACTAGCCAATGATTAATTATTTTCAATAACTGTCCTTGATAAAACTCTATTACCATCATTATCTGTTTCTTATAAATTTGTTCCTATTTTTAATTTGGGATTAAAAGGTTTTCTGACTAATTTTCTTACCAATTATCCATCCTCTGTTTATACTAGTATCTCCTCTTATATATATTTAATAGGTTCTTTAGAAACCAACTCCATTTACCCTGATTTGTTATCAATTATCCATCCTTCCTTCTAAAGTTAATCTTGAGATTATTCATTTTATACAACTCTCCTTGCGACAACCTTTTAATTACCTCTAGATTCATTCAAAGAATCTCCAGTATCCAATTCTGAATCACCTGCTTACATAGGTCTACGAATGATTTTCCTTTCCATTTGATTTGTTTTAGGATTAAGAACTAAGACTTCCTCTTCAATAAATTAAATTGGTTCAGCTTTAGAAATTACTTATTCTAATTTTCCATCCTATTTTACTGTCCATCTTCGTTATGACTATTTGTTCTCAACTATTTTTCTTGAAACAATTACATTCCCATCTTAATCAGTTTCCTTAACATTTCCTAATTTAGCATTTGGATTATATGGTTTACGAATGAGCTTTCTTTCCATCTATTAAGTTTCAGGATTCAAAACCAAAATTTCTTCTTCAATATATTTTACAGGCTCATTCTAAGCTAGAATTTTAACCATTGATCCATCAGGTTATTATTTCCACTCTTTTAATCCCTCAGTAGTCTCCTCATTTTCTACTATTCTTCTTGAAATGATTCGCTCTCCTTTTTGTCCAGCTTCATCCATATCATCACCCAATTCTATTTCTTCTCCATAATATGGTCTTCTTATGAGTTTTCTTTCTTATTTACCAGTTCTTGGATTTATAGTTATGATTTCTTCTTCAATATATTGTTCAGGTTCTTCTGCAATCACTTACTCACCTAATTATTAACTCTTTAGATTATCGACAACCTTTCTTGATAATACTTTGACATTTGGATCATCAATTTCCTTAGAGTTTATTGGTCTTGTAATAAACTTTCTTTCCATAACGCCTTTTTCTGAATTATACATAAGTACTTCCTCAACTACAACTTAAGTTGGTTCTTCCTTAACTAATATTAATTCCATTTAATCTCCTTTCTTTTACCATTTTTATAATTCTTAACTTGATTATTAATTATCAATTAATCTTCTGGCTATAATTTTAGTATTTCCATTTCCTTCATTCAATTCTTCACCAATTTATAAATCTTATCCATAATATGGTTTTCTTATTAATTTTCTTTCTTATTTTCCATCTTTGTTGATAACTAAAACTTCTTCTTCAATATATTATAATGGTTCTTATGAGATAGTTTTTTCCATCTTTCCATTTTTATCTGTTACCCACTCTTATTTCTTTTCTTCAGTTAAAGCATTTTCAACAATTTTTCTTGATACTATTCTATCACCTTATGAATTAACTTCTGTTAGATTATTTCCTTATTTTAATTAAGCATCCTTTTAGGTGAATGGTCTTCTAATTATTTTTCTCTCCATCAATCCAGTTTCCTCATTGCAAACCAAGATCTCTTCTTCAATATATTTTATAGGTTCACTTTAAGATAGAACCTTCTCTAAACATCCATTTTATTATTAATTCCACTATTATTTTTAAGTAGTTGTCATTTCATTATTTACAATCTTTCTTGATAGTACTTTCATTTGTCCATCAGTTTCATTTAAATCATCTCCTAAATTCAAGGATTACCCATTACATGGTTTTCTAATTAATTTTCTTTCAGCCTTTCCATTCTTAAAAATAAGAACTTCTTCTTCATAATATTATTCTGGTTCAGCTGATAATACAATTTCTATTTATCCATTTTTACTAGAATTCCATTCTTACATTGAATTTAATGATTTATTATTATCAATCACTTTTGATGATAAAATTTTATTTCCATTTTCGTCATACTATCTTTGTCCTTCTGTAAATGGTCTTCTTATTAATTTTCTATCCATCATTCCAGTTTCTTCATTATAAACTAGAATCTCTTCCTCTATGAATTTAGTTGGTTCATTCTTTGAAATTTACTTCTCAAAAACTCCATTTTTTAATTCAAACTCCTTTCCTTCTTCTCCTTTGACTATTTTTCTTGAAAGTACTCTCTATCCATTTCCGATGTCTTAATTAAGATCATCAGATTCTTCTACTTATTAATCATATAATATTGGTTTTCTAATAATCTTTCTTTCCTATTTTCCATTTTTGACTATGATAACTTCTTCTTCAATAAACTAATCAGGTTTCTTCGTTGAGATTATTTTCATCATGTTACCATCTTAACCCTTTTCCCATTCTTCTTATTTTTTTATTGATTCAAAATTATCAACTACCTTTCTAGATAAGACAACACCATCATTTGTCTCTTCATATAATTCACTTCCTAATTTTGCATTCTTTTGATATGGCCTTCTTATTATTTTTGTTTCTACCATTCCAGTTTTTGGATTAAAACAAACCACTTCTTCCTCTATAAATTTTATTGGTTCTGTATTTGCTATTTTCAACTCATATTAATCATTCTTCTTCTCCCAATTTACTTATGCATCATTATCAACTATCCTTCTTGATACTACTCTCTAACCTCCACCTATTGATTCATTCAATTCATCACTAATCTCAATATCTTATCCATAATATGGCTTTCTAATTAATTTTCTTTCCTATTTACCAGTTTTAGGATTCGCTTGAATTATCTCTTCTTCAATATATTATTCAGGTTCTTCTCCTAAAACAACTTCAATTGTACCAGGATTAGTTTATTTCCATCCTTATTTATTAAGAACAATAGATGACTTTCTATTATCGACTACTTTTCTTGAAATTACTTTGTCATATTAAGGTGATGAATTCTAATCTCTTCTAATTATTTTTCTTTCCATCATACCAGTTTCAGGATTAAGAACCAAGACTTCCTCTTCAATCTATTAAGTTGGTTCATTAGAACTGATTGTCATAACTAACTCATCCCCTTATTTTTTCCATTATTTTAATAAATCAAGTGATTAATCATTGTTAACAATTCTCCTTGCTACTACATGTTAATTTTTAGACACTTCTTCATCTAATTCATCTCCCAATTCAATATCTTCTCCATAATATGGTTTCCTGACTATTTTTCGTTCCTATTATCCATTTTTAGGATTCAAAACTAGAATCTCTTCTTCGATATACTAGGCTGGCTCTTCTTGAATAAATATTTCTGTTTGTCCTTATTTCCATTAAGATTTTGATGTTGATTAATTGTTTTCAACTACCTTTCTTGAGAGTACTAAATTCCCTTAAGAATCTTAAATATTAAGATTATTTCCAACTTTAACCGAAGGATTATAAGGCTTTTTGATAATCTTTCTTTCCATCATACCAGTCTCTGGATTTAAGACTAACACCTCTTCTTCAATAAATTTGATTGGTTCAACTCCTATCTTTTTAATTTTTACACCATCAACTTCAGTCCATTCGTACATTGCTTCTTTAGCTTGATCATTATCTACTATCTTTCTTGATACAATTTTATAACCTTCTTCAGAAGATATATTCAATGAATCTCCTAGTTCTCCAGGATCCTACCCATCCTTCAACGGTCTTCTAATAAGTTTTCTTTCTTGCTTTCCTGTCTTCTAATTTATAATTAAGACTTCTTCTTCAATATATTTAACTGGTTCAACAGCAACAACCTTTTTCAAAATTCCTTTAACTTTTTACCATCCATTTTATGAAGACTCAACATTTTCAACAATTCTCCTTGAAACTATTTTATTACCATTCTTATCAGTTTCACTAACTTATCCAACTTAGCATGGTTCATATTATCTTCTAACAAGAACTCTCTCTAATTATTTAGTTTCTGGATTAAGGACAAGAATTTCTTCTTCAATAAATTTAGCAGGCTCATCCGCAGCTAATTATTTTTCCATAATATCTCCATTTTTTTACCATTATTGAAGCTCTTCACTGGTTTGATTATTTTAGATAATTCTTCTAGCTACAACTTTTTTTCCATTTCCTATTGATTCATTTAAAGATTCTCCGATATCTGGATCTTCATCATTTTTCAAAGGTCTTCTTATTAATTTTCTTTCTTATTTTCCAGTTTTTTAATTTATAATTATTATTTCTTCTTCTATAAATTATTCAGGTTCATCATCACACAAAATCTATTCAAATTATCCATTCTTTAATACCCATTATTATCCTTAATCTTAAGCCTCAACATTATCAACAATTTTTCTTGATAATACAGTTCCATTTTATATATCTTACTTCTTATTATTTGGATCATATGGTCTCTTTATTAATTTTCTTTCCATTAAACCTGTTTCATCATTATATTACAAAACTTCTTCTATAATCATTTTAGTAGGTTCATTCTTAGCAATTACTTTAACAAGTTAACCATCTTATTAAATCCAACCAGCTTATTTTTATTACTCATTAGTTTCCGTATTTTAAACTCTTTTGCTTGATACAATAATACCTTCTTTAGGAGGAGGATCATTTACATTTCTTCTAATCAATTTTCTCTCTTATTTACCAGTTTTTTTATTTTAAATGATGATTTCATCTTCAATGTATTCTTCAACTTCATTATCATTTAAGATTTTCTCAAGATTCTATCCCTTTTATTCCCATCCTTATCTTGATCTATTATCAACAACCTTTCTACTTAATACAGTAACACCATTTTTTTATTCATTTAAATTATCGCCTAATTTTTAATCTTTTTAGTATGGTCTTCTAATTAATTTCCTTTCTAATTTTCCAGTCTAATTATTTTTAACTAAAACTTCTTCCTCTAGATATTTTACAGGTTCGTTATTATTTAAAACTTGTTCATATTGACCATTATTAAATTACCAATCATCAGAAAAATGATCATTTGAAACTATTCTTCTTGAGATTACTTTAGTATTAGGACCTATTGATTCATTTAAATCATCTCCTATATCTTCATTTTGATTAGTATAAGGTTTCCTGATTAATTTTCTTTCTTGTTTTCCAGTTTTTGGGTTTATAATTAAAACTTCTTATTCTATATAACGTTCTGGCTCATTTTAATTAATAACTTAAACTAATTATCCTTTGTTATCAGTTTTCCAATTTTTCATTTCAGCTTATGAAAAATTATTATCAACTATCTTTCTATTAACAACAACAGTTCCATCTTAAAGTTATTCATGAACATTTCCTGTTTATATTTTTTTATTTGGATCATAAGGTTTTCTAACTTTTTATCGAATAATTTAACCATTTTTATTTTTGATTAATATTTCTTCCTCTATGTATTAAGTAGGTTCCTCATTAAGAATAATCTCTTAGATTTCTTATCCTTTTTATTATTACCAATTTTGTTATCCATAAATTGATTGATCATTTTATACTATTCTTCTAGCAACAACTCTTTATCCATCATTAATTTCATTAATTGATTCTCCAATATCAAGATCTTCTTGATAATAAGGTTTTCTAATTAATTTCCTTTCTTACTTTCCTGTTTTTGGATTTATAACAAGAATTTCTTCTTCTATGTATGCTTCAGGCTCACGTGATGAAATTACTTTAATTTAAGTTCCATTATTTTAAGAAGTCCATCCATCTTATTGATTAGATTTGAATGATTTAGTATTATCAATGATTGATCTAGATAATATTTTATTTCCATTGGAATCAAATTCATTTAATTCTACACCAGTTTATAATTTACCATCTTTATTTGGATTATATTATCTACGAATTAATTTTCTTTCCAACTAGCCAGTCTCTTAATTATATGCTAAAACTTCCTCTTCAATAAATTATTAAGGTTCAGATTTTGATATTTATAATTCTAATTAACCTTTATTATTTCTAATCCATTTTTCATTTTACAATTATAAAGAGGATTAATCATTAGAAACAATTCTTCTCGAGACAATTTTCATTCCATTATGATCTTCATTTAAATTTTCTCCTATATTAACTTATTGATTATTGTATGGTCTTCTAATTAGTTTTCTTTCTTAAATTCCATTTTTTTATAAGATCACTTCTTCTTCTATATATTTTTCAGGTTCTTAAATATTAATAATTTTCTCAAAATTTCCATTTTATTCAATCCATCCATCTTCCTTCTATTTATTAAGAGATTAAAGATTTTAAATTACTTATCTAGATAATATTTTATTCCCATTTTTGTCTACTTCAGTTAAATTTTCACCAAAATTTAATTTTTCATCTTATTTAGTCATTTATCTTTTAATCATTTTTCTTTCATAATTACCAGTTTCTTTATTAAAACTAAGAATTTCTTCAATAAGATATTCAGTAGGTTCAATTTATTTAATTTCTAATTCTCCATTCTCATTTAATTTCCATCCTTATTATTCTAATTATTCTTTAGATTGATCATTTCCAACAACTCTTCTTGCAACTACTCTTTCTCCATTTTAATTAGTATCATTAATGTCATCTCCATAATTTCTTTATAAATCATCTTAAATAAATGGTCTTCTAACTAATTTTCTTTCTTATTTTCCATTTTTAATCACAATAATTTCTTCTTCAACATATTCTTCAGGTTCTTCAGCTATAGTTTATCTATATGATCCCATAGATCCTCTTGTCCAATCTGAACCAAGTAATTTTAAATTAGGTACAAGTGTACGTTTAACAATTATATTACCATCCTTATCAACTTCTTTCAAATTACCAAATTAAATTTTATCTTTATTAACAGATGGTCTTTTGATTAATTATCTAATCATAGTTCCAGTTTATTAATTAAATGTTAGTACTTCTTCTTCAATAAATTCAATAGGTTCACTTTAAATTAATATTTTTTCTAGATTTCTTGTAATTTCATTTTTCTTCCAATTTTCAATATTACCATCATTTTTAACTATTTTTCTACTTACTACAACTTAATCATCAGTAATTCTTTCATTTAAGTCATCTCCTAATTAACATTTTTCTCCATCTTCTAAAATAGGTCTTCGAATTAATTTTCTTTATTACTTACCAGCTGATAAATTTTATATTAAAATCTCTTCCTCATAAAAATTTAATATTTTATCAATAGAGATTATTTTTTCTAATTATCCACTTCTATTTTTAATCCAACCTTATTCTCTAAGAAAAATTGTTGATTCAATATTATCACCTATTTCTCTAGAAATAATTTAATTTCCATCAAATTATATTTCATCTAATTGATCTCCAAGTATTAATTATTATTCATTAACTTCTAAATCAAATCTAATTTATTTTTTAGTTTATTCATAATTATCAAAATCTATTTCAATAATAGTTTCTTATATATATTTACATGACTCCCCTTGACTAATTACTTTTTCCCAATATTATTTATCTGAATAATATTTCCAATCTTTTTCAATTTATTTCTCACCTTTAATAATTCTTCTAGCAATTATTCTAATTCCTTATATTTATATTTCATACAAATTTTCTCCAAATTCTTACTAAACTTTATTTAGAGATTATTCATCAAAATAGATTTTCCTAATTAATTTTCTGTCTTGTTTCTTTTAAGATACAATTAAGATTTCTTCTTCAATATAAAAAACTTCATCTTCATTTTATATATATTTTTATGCAATTCCTAAATTAAAATTACATTCCCATCCATCCTATGCCAATTATTTAGATGATTATATATTATCTACAATTCTACTTGATACTAATTTTTATCCTTCTTCTAATTTTCTATTTTTGTCATATTTTCTTCTAATGATTTTTCTTTCTATTTAACCTGTTTATGGATTTACTTCTAATAATTCTTCTTCAACATATTTATTTGGTTCTCTATTACCAAGTATTCTTTCTAATTTTGATTCTTTTATAACCCATCCTTCTTAATCTAACTATTCAGTAGAATATTCATTTGCTACAATTCGACGACCAATAATTCTTTATCCTTGAGCATTAACCTCATTTAATCCTTCTCCTAATTTAACATTTTAATCATTATACGGTATTCTAACTATTTTTCTAATCAATTAGCCAGTTTTAGGATTTTCAATAAGAATTTCTTCTTCAATATATCTTTAAGGTTCTTATTCACTAATAACTTTTTTAAGTTCTCCATTTTCTTATTTATTCCATCCTTCTTCATCTGTAACATTAACCAATTTTCTAGATACTAATATTTTACCATCACCCATATCTTATTTGAGATTATTACCATATTCATAATCTTAATCAATAGGTCTTCTTATTAAAACTCTTTTAACTTAGTCAGTTTCTTCATCATATTCTAAATATTCTTCTTCTATCATATCTAAAGGTTCTGAAGCTCTTAATTCTTCAATTAAATCCTACTCAGATTGAAAGAGTGAACTTGCATTTGTATTTTTATTATCATGTTAAGATACTCTACTATTAAATGAATTATTTAATTTATTAGTTTTTTCTTGGCTATTATTTCTTTATTGTGCATTTCCTAATTCGACAATCATGGATTAAACTTAATCTAAATGAACAGAACTGCTTCTTCTTGAATGAGTGCGATCTCTCATATCAATTGGAACTTATTATAAATTACCAAGTTTATTAATGGACTTTTAAATATCTTAAATGAGTAATCTTAATAAATTAGCTTTTTTAACAGTAGAAATTTAATGATTATTATCCCTTTATTCTTATAAAAAAGATTTGGCAATGGGACTTGGAGAATGTTAAGTAAGGAATGTTTGTACATATCTTGCTGGTGTAATAGGAGCTCCTTTTTTTGGAGTTTAGAAATGATGAATTTTTTCTTGTTATTATGGTGAATAATAGAATCTCTAAATTGGAGATGCAATTAAAGTTCTAGATTTACTCATAACACGAGATGAGAATAATTGTTTTGAACTTTTTATAGGAGAAATTTATTTTATAATAGATAATTTAGTTTCTGTTGATCTTAGATGAGCTTGAACATCTACTTCAATATGTTATTATCTTAACACTGATATTCCTTCATTAAATCTTCTTTTATCAACAATAAATGCAGGTAAATTGAAAGCATATTTAGTAGCAAAAATTGGTTGGATTGAACTTAAATGCTTTAATTCATGTTCTGGTAGTTGGAATCTTATCTATTCATTAATTTGTTATAATTCATTGCTTTCATTGGTATAAAGATTTGCCTTATCAATTTTAATTAATCGGCATTCTTCAGTAAAACAATAGATGTAGTAGTTAGTCTATTATAAATGATGGATTCTTATATTTATTGCCAATCTTCTTACTATATATCTTCCATTATTGTTAATCAATAGAAACATACGATTTTTATCTATTTTTATATTGAATAATTACTAGATAATAGGATTGAATATCTGTCATTTGGTAAAATCTCATTCACGATTAAATAATTTGTATCTATCTGTTCAGCTCTTGAAATTGTCCACATATTTTTACAAGTAAAGTATTCATTTGATAATTTAAATATCTCACTCAATACTTGAACTTAAGCCTGTTAATCAGTAAAAATAACATAATCTTTTGCAGCACAGATCTTTATAAACCTTCCTTCTATTCTTATTGGAATATCACTTCTTCCCAAAGGAGTATTCCCCCATATCCAAGCTTATCCTTTATAATCTAAACAACATCCAATGTTAGAAGATAACGATATGCTCTTGTAATCATTACCGATCTTTATTGGGCTTTAGGAAATATAGCATTTCTCATTGCCCAACAAACCTAAAGTAATTATGAATCATACCTAATTACAATTTATCCTCTCCAAATCCAAATAACTATCCTGAGTAGGTTAACAACAAAGTAACTGATTCATTTGTTGCTATTTGTTTCACTTTACAATTCCAAGTAGGAATCTTATAAAATGATTTCCCAAGTTCTAAATAGTAAACACATCCATTCTCTAAACCAACTAACAAACAAAAATACCTGATAAAATTTGATACTAATTTTTGAGGAATCCCTTACATACTTATCTAACATTTCCCATCTATTTTAAAGCATCAACACCTTAAAATGTATTCTTAACTTAAATTGATTATAGATACCTCTTCCTCATCATAAAAATAAAGAATTTCATCCATTTTTATAAATTTTATTTAATAAATATTATTATTATTTCTATAAATTAAGATTTATCAATGATGACTTTACAAATCTAAAACATATGGCTCCTAAATTATTTCAAAGTCATAATATTCTTATCAATTAACTGATCAACTAGATTTTATTACAACTGACTTTTATTATCTCCTCGTAAACCAACTAAACTTATTCAAACTCTTTTTAACTAAGTTTTAAATTGATCTTTTATTCTCTACTCCATATCACTTAAAAAATGTAACAAAATTTTTATCTAACCATACTGCTGGTCTGAAAATTATTATGCTTCCTTATTATGGATCCTAAGATTACATTTTTTATTTTGTAAATTTTAATTTTGAAAAACATTTTGAACCACCTAATGATCCACCTCAAAATCCTCTAAACAAAAATTTTTTATTTATTTCCGATCCTTTGTATTTTAATTTTTTCCCATCCATTTCTGTCTCTAAACCAATTCTCAGAACTGGTTGCTATTTTAGATCTGATATCTTCAAATAGTTAATTTATTTTTTTTTTAAAATTGTTTTTACTTGAAATACATCCACCCTAAATATTCCCACCTACTCATAATCAAAAAAACCATTCATGAAAAAGCTGTAGAATACAAAAGTGGTGCAGCTAAATGAAACATATGAGAAATATTTATTGTTTTTTAATAGTTTATAATTCATTATTATTTATTGGTACAAAAAAGAAGAGTTCATTCAAATATAACTAAACAGAATAAAAAATCCTATATTTAATGATGTTCTATTACTGTTAAGTTATGAATTTTTGAATACAATTGATAAAAGATGTATCAAAGAAATTTGAAAAAAAATATGTAATTATTTATTATACTAATTAATGCAATAACATAAAGTTATATAAGGTAATACATAGATTCTGTATACTACTACATAACCTTATTTTTAAGGCACTAAATATAAATTATTTATAACTTCGGAGTGCAATTATGTAGTCAAAATATATGATGTTGGACAAGATAAAGTATTTAATTATGTTGTAATTTTTATATAGTATTTGAATACAGAGTTATAAGCTGTTCATCTTTTTAAGGATAATGAGTGTAGCAACATTGTAAAATCATATGAAGGAGAGTTATAACCAAATAAAAAAGTAATAGTTTTTGAAAAAGCTGAAGTCCTCCAAAATATTTTGAAGGATTCCTAAGAAGGTTTTGTGGAACCTCAAGTCCTTAAAGTAAGCAGAAAAATAAGCGTAGATCTTATTAGATTTAAGCAAAGCATTACAGCACTCTCATTCATTAGGCATAACACATCGAGATATCAGACCAGAGAACATTTTAATTGGATTAGAGAAGCAAGCAAATTATGGGATTTTAACGTTGTTTTTTCTAAGTATTTGAAATTTTAGTTAGCAATATGATCAAATACCGAATGAATATTTGTGAAGAATCAAAGAAGAAATTGAGATGAACACTTTTGAACATGTAAGAGCTCCAGAATAAAAAGATTTCTCTCAAAGATTGCCAATCACTACCAAAGTAGATATCTATGCTTTTGGAAAATTAATGTATTATATGATATCTAAAGTCCGATATGATTAAAATCCTAATTGGGAAGGAAAGTAAAATTTAATATAAATTAAGTGCATTATGGGGCGTTTATAGTTCCAAANAACTTATTCAAACTCTTTTTAACTAAGTTTTAAATTGATCTTTTATTCTCTACTCCATATCACTTAAAAAATGTAACAAAATTTTTATCTAACCATACTGCTGGTCTGAAAATTATTATGCTTCCTTATTATGGATCCTAAGATTACATTTTTTATTTTGTAAATTTTAATTTTGAAAAACATTTTGAACCACCTAATGATCCACCTCAAAATCCTCTAAACAAAAATTTTTTATTTATTTCCGATCCTTTGTATTTTAATTTTTTCCCATCCATTTCTGTCTCTAAACCAATTCTCAGAACTGGTTGCTATTTTAGATCTGATATCTTCAAATAGTTAATTTATTTTTTTTTTAAAATTGTTTTTACTTGAAATACATCCACCCTAAATATTCCCACCTACTCATAATCAAAAAAACCATTCATGAAAAAGCTGTAGAATACAAAAGTGGTGCAGCTAAATGAAACATATGAGAAATATTTATTGTTTTTTAATAGTTTATAATTCATTATTATTTATTGGTACAAAAAAGAAGAGTTCATTCAAATATAACTAAACAGAATAAAAAATCCTATATTTAATGATGTTCTATTACTGTTAAGTTATGAATTTTTGAATACAATTGATAAAAGATGTATCAAAGAAATTTGAAAAAAAATATGTAATTATTTATTATACTAATTAATGCAATAACATAAAGTTATATAAGGTAATACATAGATTCTGTATACTACTACATAACCTTATTTTTAAGGCACTAAATATAAATTATTTATAACTTCGGAGTGCAATTATGTAGTCAAAATATATGATGTTGGACAAGATAAAGTATTTAATTATGTTGTAATTTTTATATAGTATTTGAATACAGAGTTATAAGCTGTTCATCTTTTTAAGGATAATGAGTGTAGCAACATTGTAAAATCATATGAAGGAGAGTTATAACCAAATAAAAAAGTAATAGTTTTTGAAAAAGCTGAAGTCCTCCAAAATATTTTGAAGGATTCCTAAGAAGGTTTTGTGGAACCTCAAGTCCTTAAAGTAAGCAGAAAAATAAGCGTAGATCTTATTAGATTTAAGCAAAGCATTACAGCACTCTCATTCATTAGGCATAACACATCGAGATATCAGACCAGAGAACATTTTAATTGGATTAGAGAAGCAAGCAAATTATGGGATTTTAACGTTGTTTTTTCTAAGTATTTGAAATTTTAGTTAGCAATATGATCAAATACCGAATGAATATTTGTGAAGAATCAAAGAAGAAATTGAGATGAACACTTTTGAACATGTAAGAGCTCCAGAATAAAAAGATTTCTCTCAAAGATTGCCAATCACTACCAAAGTAGATATCTATGCTTTTGGAAAATTAATGTATTATATGATATCTAAAGTCCGATATGATTAAAATCCTAATTGGGAAGGAAAGTAAAATTTAATATAAATTAAGTGCATTATGGGGCGTTTATAGTTCCAAATTATAAAACCTAATAAAATAATTACTTATCATAAATCCAAAGGACAGGATATCAGCAGAATAAATAGAATAATACATAAATACAATAATTACTTAATATAAGTAAATTTTAAATTAAATATACCTGAGTGGAATATCATAAAATATTCATTTAAGAAGTTAATCAACAAATGAGATCTAGAATAGAGAGATAATTACTTCAAATAAAGAATTAGATAAATGTCATTCATTTGAATTTAAAGATCTATAATAACCCCAATAATCCTCATTATCAACAAGATTAGTAAAATTAGTTAGTAAAGTGGCATAGAAGACAGATTTTTGGGTGGCTGCATGTTTAGAAGAAGTTGATGCAGCTCCTTGTTAAAAATATTTTAGATATCTTCATTTTAAAGCATGGTAAAAGAAATAAATAATTCCTAAATTTTATGAGAAAGTATCAAATAGATTATAATTACATTCTGTAATAGTGACATTTAAGACTTTATAATTAATACATAACTATGTTAATAAAGGTCCTTAAGAAGCCATAGCAGTAAAACATTCAATATATTTTCCAAATGCAATTTTAGAAAGAATTAAAAATTTTTAAGAATAAAATTAAATGGAAATTTCTAAAGATAAATTTCGATCACAGTTTTTTACAAATTTTCTGTATAAGTATTCAATTATATTATTGGAAAAAGTGAAATTTCATTCATTTATCTAAAGTATTTTGAAGGTAATTATGCTATGATTCCATTTTTCAATAGCATGAATGGAATTTAAAAATAAAAATTAAGTATAGCAATATTTAACAATATGATGAATTTATGGAAATAATTATTAAATTTCACATCGAATATATAATTGTAAGAATAGAATTTAATAAATTTATAATTGGGCCTTGCACTAACAATGGCTGATAAAATATACAATATTCTCTGTACTTTTACTCACATATTTTATGCTTTAAAGTAAAGTACTAATTATATTAGTGAATAACCCACTAATAATAACGAAGTTAAATAAGCCTTTCTTAAATTATAAGATGATTATTGGAATAACTTTTAATAGACAACCAGTTTCTTTACTGTTTGCAAAAGAATACCATAGTTTTAATAATTAATACCAGATCCATCCAAGAATTTAGTTGAAATTTTGAAAAATGTTCCATTATTTCAATCTAAAAGAGGAGATTTTAATTTTAATGATTTCTTAAGTTATTCAATGTCAATTGATGGAATTAAATTATCTTAAAGTTATGGCGAAATAATGATTAATTAAGTAATAGAATATGATGAAGAAGAAACAGTCGAAATAAAACCTAAATATAAAAAATAAAATTTTAATACAATAAAAGCAGTAATCTCTTATTAAATATGAACTTCTAGTATTTGATTGGTTTGAATATGTGAAAAGTATTTTTGAATAATATGAATTTTGTATTTGTTAGGGAAATACAATCTAAAAACTTCAATAACAAATATTAATAAAATATAAATTCTCAATAAAATACAATTTAGGAAGATCAAACAAATTTATAATACTAATAAAATTAAATTGTTGAAATTTAACGAGAATCTATAGATATTAAAAATTTAGAATTCAAGAAAAAATCATCTAAACAATAATAATAAGGTGAATACAAAGGGTTTGATTTCTCTGATGATGAAGATGATAATATTATGCATAATTAATCAAATGAGGATGAGGATGATTAATCTGAAAAATTACCCTAACAACATATTGAATTATAACAAACTAAAATAAGAGCTCCTTTATCAAATTAAAATGTTTAATTATAACAATAATTATTAAATGATGAAGGATTTTTAAGTTGGAGACAATCAAATGGTTAAAATTAAAGAATATAATCAGCCAATTCTTAATCAAATAACATTTTTGAGTAATTTGATCTAAATTAAATTAAGAAATAGATACTCATTGATAATCCTAAATAATCTAACACATTCTAAATTTTTGATTATTTTACTAAACATGGCAAAAGTATATATTTGTATTCTAAATTATTGGATGTTTCTGAGTGGATGATTAATCATAATTAATTATAATTAGAAACACTTATAGGAACAGGAAGTAGTTGTACTGTTTATAAAGGTTATTGGAGAGGAGGAGAAGTTGCTATTAAAACAATGAAAATTCAATAATTAAATGAAAACCACATAAAAGAATTCAGAAGAGAAATCTCAGCTTTAGTGACTATAAAAAGACATCAAAATTTAGTATAGCTTTTGAGAATATCATAAAAAGCAGATGAATTATTTATTGTAATTCTGTGACGAAGGAACACTTTTTGATTTATTGCATAGAAAAAAAACATTTAGAAATTAGTTGTTAATTAAGNTACTTTTACTCACATATTTTATGCTTTAAAGTAAAGTACTAATTATATTAGTGAATAACCCACTAATAATAACGAAGTTAAATAAGCCTTTCTTAAATTATAAGATGATTATTGGAATAACTTTTAATAGACAACCAGTTTCTTTACTGTTTGCAAAAGAATACCATAGTTTTAATAATTAATACCAGATCCATCCAAGAATTTAGTTGAAATTTTGAAAAATGTTCCATTATTTCAATCTAAAAGAGGAGATTTTAATTTTAATGATTTCTTAAGTTATTCAATGTCAATTGATGGAATTAAATTATCTTAAAGTTATGGCGAAATAATGATTAATTAAGTAATAGAATATGATGAAGAAGAAACAGTCGAAATAAAACCTAAATATAAAAAATAAAATTTTAATACAATAAAAGCAGTAATCTCTTATTAAATATGAACTTCTAGTATTTGATTGGTTTGAATATGTGAAAAGTATTTTTGAATAATATGAATTTTGTATTTGTTAGGGAAATACAATCTAAAAACTTCAATAACAAATATTAATAAAATATAAATTCTCAATAAAATACAATTTAGGAAGATCAAACAAATTTATAATACTAATAAAATTAAATTGTTGAAATTTAACGAGAATCTATAGATATTAAAAATTTAGAATTCAAGAAAAAATCATCTAAACAATAATAATAAGGTGAATACAAAGGGTTTGATTTCTCTGATGATGAAGATGATAATATTATGCATAATTAATCAAATGAGGATGAGGATGATTAATCTGAAAAATTACCCTAACAACATATTGAATTATAACAAACTAAAATAAGAGCTCCTTTATCAAATTAAAATGTTTAATTATAACAATAATTATTAAATGATGAAGGATTTTTAAGTTGGAGACAATCAAATGGTTAAAATTAAAGAATATAATCAGCCAATTCTTAATCAAATAACATTTTTGAGTAATTTGATCTAAATTAAATTAAGAAATAGATACTCATTGATAATCCTAAATAATCTAACACATTCTAAATTTTTGATTATTTTACTAAACATGGCAAAAGTATATATTTGTATTCTAAATTATTGGATGTTTCTGAGTGGATGATTAATCATAATTAATTATAATTAGAAACACTTATAGGAACAGGAAGTAGTTGTACTGTTTATAAAGGTTATTGGAGAGGAGGAGAAGTTGCTATTAAAACAATGAAAATTCAATAATTAAATGAAAACCACATAAAAGAATTCAGAAGAGAAATCTCAGCTTTAGTGACTATAAAAAGACATCAAAATTTAGTATAGCTTTTGAGAATATCATAAAAAGCAGATGAATTATTTATTGTAATTCTGTGACGAAGGAACACTTTTTGATTTATTGCATAGAAAAAAAACATTTAGAAATTAGTTGTTAATTAAGAGTTAAAATAGCAATAAAAATAGCAGAAGGTATGGAACATTTACATAAATTAAATCCTCCATTAATACATAGAGATCTTAAGAGCTTAAAGTAATTTTATCTAACTTATTAAATAGTTTATTACTTTAATACACTTATGATTAAAATAGGATAAATATCAAAATTGCAGATTTTGAATTAGCTCAAGTGCAAGCAGATAATGGAGAATAATTGACAGGTGTCTTTGGAACCTTTGTATATTATTTATTTTACTGTAGCTTTGGATGGCTCCAGAAGTGTTTTAAAATGTTCCTTATATGATAAAAGCTGATGTTTATTCATATGCAGTAAAATAAACAGTTCTATGAAATTTAGATAGTTTTATGGGAAATATGTAGTTGAGAAACTCCATATAAACAATTATCCACTAATTCACCTGCAATAATGAAATTAGTAGCAGTAGATAATAGAAGGCCAGATATGAATTTAATTTAGGTTGGATGTCCAATATTTTTGAAAGATTTAATGATTAAATATCCAACTAAAAGACCCTCTTTTTAAGAAGTATCATGGGTTATTAAAAATATCATGAAATTGAAAAATTAATTGGTAGTGGTAGTTTTGCAAATTTTAACATTGGAAAATCAAAGGCTGATGGTATTATTTGATTCTTTGCACCAATACAAAAATAAAGTAAAATTATTAACATAATACCAAAGTAGCAATTAAGGCTTTCCTTAAATAAATGCTCATGTTATCAGATCTAACTTAATGGTGAGTAGTAATAAATCGATAATGAAGTTAAATTCATGAAATATATGAATCGAAAATATATTGAAATTGGATGATGTCTTTGAAAATAAGGCTCAAATTTATCTAATCACTAAATTATGCAGAGGTGGCAACCTTGAGTAAGCAATTAAAAAACTTGAAGATCAATTATCATTATTAACTGTGTAAAGTGATTTTTCGACAAATTGTAGAAGGAATCAAATATATGCATGGCATAGGTACTAAAATAAAAGAAAGAAAGGTTTGATGCATAGAGACATAAAATCAGAAAATATGCTTTTTAGAAAGTCTGTCTCCCTTCAGTAGTTTGGTTTATCTATAAAGGAGGCCCATTAATTAGTGATGTTGGAGTATCCTCTACAATATAGAAATAACATAATGTTTATTAATTTTGTGGGTACTATGGATATATGGCACCAGAAATATTTATTAGTGAGGAGGACAAATCAAAATAGTATGATGAGAAATGTGATGTTTTTAGTTTAGGTTGCTTAATTTATGAATTGTATAGGAAATTAATTTAATAAGAACTACTACTAAACCTCTCTTTTCAGGCAATAATGTATTATGATAAAACTTTAGAAAAGTATATCAACTAATGAAAATGTTGAATCCCAATCCAGATTAAAGAATTTCGTGTTCAGAATTGTAAATCATCCAGTTATCTCAGTAGAATATGATGAATAATGATGTCCATTTTTCAAGGATTTTAATTGTTGCTTTATCAACACAAAATCAAGATTATTAATAAAATCAAAAAGCAATGCTATTTTACTCTAAACTTCTAGAAGGAATGAGACTCAATTTTTTAAAAGATTATCCTAATTACTACCAACTATAAAAGATTAAGCACTGAAGTGCATAATTGATGATGGAATATTTTATTTGTACTTCATCACTGTCAATTTATTTAAAGTATTTTACAAGTTTCATTGTTCATCAATTTTTTCACAAAATAATCAATTAAACTGTCTCAATATCACTCCTGATGAGTTTATTATAGAATCATTCTTTATAGTGAATTTCTTATTCTTAACGAAAAAAATTAATCTATTTTAAGATTCTATAATTTTTTAGATTTCATTCTTATAAATTTTATGAGTAAAAGTATCATGTGATATCATTTTTAATTTAAATATTTTTTTTATTTAGATAAGTATTATATTTCATTTATATTATTATAGCTTCTAGATCCTTTAAGATTTTATCTCATTAAGAAAGGCATCCATTTACTACTATTGATTTGGACCTGTTTTTGGATATGATACAGTTTGTTATTAGTATTATTGTTATTCATATAATTATTATTATTAAACTCCATAATTCTGATACTGTGGATTATGAATAGGAACTCCAACCTAGTTACTAAAAGGTAAACCGATTTATTAAGCATTATTTACTAAGGGTTATCCTTAAGCAACTTGAAAAGGAGAAAATGGAACTTGTTGAGTTGGAATCTAGACAGGATTTCTTTGTTAAGTATTATACTATTATTTATTTAAACCTCTAAAGGGATCCTATTAAGCAACAGGACTCAATCTGTAGTCAAATTAATCTTACGGTCTCTTAAAAGGATCTTAAATTTCCCCTCTTGATGGTGGTCTTTGAGGTATTTAAGGTATTTGTGGATGTTAAATTGATTATTAAGGAAATATTTGGTATTGATCTTAATAATCCAATTTATTTGCTGAGTTTGAACGAACAACAGGTGGTTTTTAGTACTATGGTTATTGTTTGAATAAAAATTCTTGTTTAGGTATCTGTTATCTCTATAATTCAGGAGGGAAATTGTTATTCGCAAATTATTCAAATTAATCATAATATCTAGATTGTTATTTTTGAATACCTTTGTTCATACTATTTCATTACTGCCATAAAATCCTCTTTTCTGTCATATTTTTTAAGTTCATCTACAAAGTCATCTACTCTTAACGGTTGAGACATATAAAATATTAATTATATAATTATAAGAAAATTTAAGTTATGAATAACATTTGTTTGTTTTTCTACTAATTGTTTATTATAATAAAGTATCACTATTACTTAAATGTTTAAATTTAAATAAATTGAAATACATCTTAAATCTGAGAAATTTATGATAAATTATGAAAGGTTATTTAAAGAAATGGGTGAAATTCATGTATTAATATTAAAATCATTATTTTATTTTGCATGAAGGTTCTTTAATTTATTGTCATTCTAAAGGATCTCGAAAGAAAGGTGAAGAGTACTCTAATTATTTAGGTTAAGTGCATTTAAGTATCTGCTCAATAAAATCTGTTTCTAAAGATCCTCAAAGAATTGTGATAAATTATGGAATGAGTGAAATGAATTTAAGGGCTTCATTAGTTTAAGAGAAATAGAAATGGTTATCAATAAAAAGAAAACGAAATCATTATTTAGTATTCATCTATATCCTAAAATAATATCCTTTTATAGAGAAAGAAGAACCCTTTCTTTTTTATTCAAGGAGCTCCAGAATTAGATCGAAAAAGCATTCATACTACTCTTACATAATTTTTTATTATGCAATCATAATTAGAAGAGTAGATTCTATTAATAATACTTCGAAAATTAGCTAATTGATATAAGAAATAGAAGTAAATGACTTAGCAAATTTAGCATATAGTTAAATTTAGTAAAAACTTTAAGAGAAAATAAGAGTAAAAACTGATCATAATCCTCCTGATCTTGATTAGGAAGAATTTGTACCTACTGAATAATTTATGAGGATGAAGATAAATTTTACTTAATCAATAATGAACTCTATGATACCAGATTACTAGTAAGGAGATTATCTTTTCAGAAAAAGTCTATTTTTGGAGTTTCTCCATTGCTTTATTGATTTAGATACTTGAATAAAAAAGAATTCCTTAACCAATAAAATATAAAAATCTTATCAAAAATGAAGCATTAAAGGACATCATAATTGGAATTAAGAAACAAGTGAATACTTACTTACCAGCTTCGATAAATAGAGTCAAAAAACTATTTAATCCTATTTAGGGTGAAACATTCGTCTTATAAGTTCAAATATATCTCAAATTAAGTCTCACATCATCATCCAATATCAGTTGGTTATGCAAAAAATGAACATTTTGAATTTCTTTCTGATAATAATATGACGACATCTTTTTGGGGAAAATCAATTAATGTGACAACTTTAGGTTGGGTTAATATTAAATTAAAGAAAAATTTAGATCAAATAACATATAAAAATGTAAGCCTTCATTGAAAAACTTGATTATGGGACCATAATATNATTCGCAAATTATTCAAATTAATCATAATATCTAGATTGTTATTTTTGAATACCTTTGTTCATACTATTTCATTACTGCCATAAAATCCTCTTTTCTGTCATATTTTTTAAGTTCATCTACAAAGTCATCTACTCTTAACGGTTGAGACATATAAAATATTAATTATATAATTATAAGAAAATTTAAGTTATGAATAACATTTGTTTGTTTTTCTACTAATTGTTTATTATAATAAAGTATCACTATTACTTAAATGTTTAAATTTAAATAAATTGAAATACATCTTAAATCTGAGAAATTTATGATAAATTATGAAAGGTTATTTAAAGAAATGGGTGAAATTCATGTATTAATATTAAAATCATTATTTTATTTTGCATGAAGGTTCTTTAATTTATTGTCATTCTAAAGGATCTCGAAAGAAAGGTGAAGAGTACTCTAATTATTTAGGTTAAGTGCATTTAAGTATCTGCTCAATAAAATCTGTTTCTAAAGATCCTCAAAGAATTGTGATAAATTATGGAATGAGTGAAATGAATTTAAGGGCTTCATTAGTTTAAGAGAAATAGAAATGGTTATCAATAAAAAGAAAACGAAATCATTATTTAGTATTCATCTATATCCTAAAATAATATCCTTTTATAGAGAAAGAAGAACCCTTTCTTTTTTATTCAAGGAGCTCCAGAATTAGATCGAAAAAGCATTCATACTACTCTTACATAATTTTTTATTATGCAATCATAATTAGAAGAGTAGATTCTATTAATAATACTTCGAAAATTAGCTAATTGATATAAGAAATAGAAGTAAATGACTTAGCAAATTTAGCATATAGTTAAATTTAGTAAAAACTTTAAGAGAAAATAAGAGTAAAAACTGATCATAATCCTCCTGATCTTGATTAGGAAGAATTTGTACCTACTGAATAATTTATGAGGATGAAGATAAATTTTACTTAATCAATAATGAACTCTATGATACCAGATTACTAGTAAGGAGATTATCTTTTCAGAAAAAGTCTATTTTTGGAGTTTCTCCATTGCTTTATTGATTTAGATACTTGAATAAAAAAGAATTCCTTAACCAATAAAATATAAAAATCTTATCAAAAATGAAGCATTAAAGGACATCATAATTGGAATTAAGAAACAAGTGAATACTTACTTACCAGCTTCGATAAATAGAGTCAAAAAACTATTTAATCCTATTTAGGGTGAAACATTCGTCTTATAAGTTCAAATATATCTCAAATTAAGTCTCACATCATCATCCAATATCAGTTGGTTATGCAAAAAATGAACATTTTGAATTTCTTTCTGATAATAATATGACGACATCTTTTTGGGGAAAATCAATTAATGTGACAACTTTAGGTTGGGTTAATATTAAATTAAAGAAAAATTTAGATCAAATAACATATAAAAATGTAAGCCTTCATTGAAAAACTTGATTATGGGACCATAATATTTAGACCATTATGGAGAAATTAATTTCAAGAATGGAACAACTGGAGATACGGGAACTCTAAAATTAATAGAGGGATCTTCTGATGCATCATTTCAATTAAAAGGATTTGTTAAAGACAAATAAGAAACATAATATTGTATCATTTAAAGTAAATGGAATTCAGAAATCAGCATTACAGTCACCGAATGAAATTGTGTGGGTTCGTAATGCTTTACCTTAAAAATCTGATTTATAGTACTGTTTTCTAAGGCTCTCTAATTAGGTCTATGACTAGTATCTGTGGGGGGGGGGGGGGGGGG